GGCAACACGGACTTTCAACTCCCTCCAAAGGTTTTCTATGGGGTTGAAATCTGGAGACTCGCTAGGCCACTCCAGGACCTTGAAATGCTTCTTACGAAGCCACTCCTTCGTTGTCCGGGCGGTGTGTTTGGGATCACTGTCATGCTGAAAGACCCAGCCACGTTTCGTCTTCAATGCCCTTGCTGATGGAAGGTGGTTTGCACTCAAAATCTCACGATACATGGCCCCATTCATTCTGTCCTGTACACGGATCAGTCGTCCTGGTCCCTTTGCAGAGAAACAGCCCCAAAGCATGATGTTACCACCCCCATGCTTCACAGTAGGTATGGTGTTCTTTGGATGCAACTCAGCATTCTCTCTCCTCCAAACACGATGAGTTGTGTTTCTACCAAACAGTTCTACTTTGGTTTCATCTGACCATATGACATTCTCCCAATCCTCTTCTGGATCATCCAAATGCTCTCTAGCAAACTTCAGACGGGCCCGGACATGTACTGGCTTAAGCAGGGGGACACGTCTGGCACTGCAGGATCTGAGTCCCTGGCGGCATAGTGTGTTACTGATGGTAGCCTTTGTTACATTGGTCCCAGCTCTCTGCAGGTCATTCACTAGATCCCCCCGTGTGGTTCTGGGATTTTTGCTCACCGTTCTTGTGATCATTTTGACCCCACAGGGTGAGATCTTGCTTAGAGCCCCAGATCGAGGGAGATTATGAGTGGTCTTGTATGTCTTCCATTTTCTAATTATTGCTCCCACAGTTGATTTCTTCACACCAAGCTGCTTGCCTATTGCAGATTCAGTCTTCCCAGCCTGGTGCAGGTCTACAATTTTGTTTCTGGTGTCCTTCAACAGCTCTTTGGTCTTCACATAGTGGAGTTTGGAGTGTGACTGTTTGAGGTTGTGGACAGGTGTCTTTATACTGATAACAATTCAAACAGGTGCCATTAATACAGGTAATGAGTGGAGGACAGAGGAGCCTCTTAAAGAAGAAGTTACAGGTCTGTGAGAGCCAGAAATCTTGCTTGTTTGTAGGTGACCAAATACTTATTTTCCACCATAATTTGCAAATAAATTCTTTCCAAATCAGACAATGTGATTGTCTGGATTTGTTTTCTCATTTTGCCTCTCATAGTTGAGGTCTACCTATGATGACAATTACAGGCTTCTCTCATCTTTTTAAGTGGGAGGACTTGCACAATTGGTGGCTGACTAAATACTTTTTTGCCCCACTGTAAAACAAGCCAAAAATCTGAATGTATGTGTTTAATCTGAACTGCATTGCATTGAAAGTACTGAGTAAATGCTGGATAGTTGGGGAAACTTCTATTAACAATTATTTTTCTTTCCTGTCATGACAGTCCTTTACAGTGAATACCTGCAGGCCCTGTAAGCCCCACTCATCCATGCAGCTTACTCAATCGGAGTAAATATTAATGGGTGAAATGCAGAGTAGTCACTGGCATAGTCCCAAAGTTGATTAGTTGTAACATAAACCACTTCTAGGGAAGTGCAGAAAAATAGCCTGAAATTTGGCCTGAGCATTGAGTGAGAGAGAAAAGAAGCTTCCATCTTCCTAAAAAGCTCTTAGGAAAAACTTGGCCTGGAGAGAAAATAATTTTGTCTTTGTGAGTGTGGGAAAGCTGAGAGAGAGGTTAGAGACATTGCCGTGTAACTTGGACAGTGAGACAGTATAATACAGAGGAGAAAAGTTATGGAGGTGGGATTCTAGAGACGGACAGTTCCCTCGTGAATTGCACATCTGAGGAAATTCTGAAAGTGAACCCAAATTTCTCTGCAAAATGGAGAGGGGTTGGATTTTTTACATTCTTGAAAATATGATTCTCTTGATTTAGGATTTATTTCAATCTATATTCCCACCCTTGTCAAATTCATGACTCTAGGTATCTAACAACAATTAGAAACCCTATTACAATAAGTGTCTATGGAGATTCTCAATCCAGGTCATGGTTGTCCCAAAGGTGCTTTTTCAAGTGGCAATTGGACTTTCTTGTGTTTTTTTTTTTGAAGTGAACCATCTTCAAAGAAAACAAAGTCCAGTTGCCTCTTGAAAAAATATCTTTGGGATATTAAAATAACTGTAAAAAAACCATACATATATAATAATCAGCCAAGGTAAAAAATAAATCCACCACCAACAAATCAAATATTATATTTCTTTAAAACATTTATCTACCTGCCCATCTTGTACCAAATTCTGAGCAGCTATATAAATGCTTTTAAAAAAAAAAAAAATGAATATATCACAAATTAAAATAATATAGATTAAACTATTACTTAATTAAACTATTAATACCACAAACATTAAAAACTAAAACGTGGTACCAAATTAAGCTTCTGACATGCAGTCACCTCATCCTAACCCAGAGCTTGGGGGAAAAGACAAGTCTTCAGTGCTTTTCAAAAGGTTAAGGAGGATAGGAGCCTTCAGGGGAAGAATATCGGTAAATTCTCGACTTACGACCATAATTGAGCCCAAAATTTCTGTTGCTAAGCAAGAAGTTGTTAAGTAAGTTTTGTCCCATTTTATGACATTTCTTGGCATAGTTGTTAAATTAATCACTGCAGTTGCTAAGTTAGTAACAGGGTTGTTAAATGATTTTGGCGTCCCCGTTGACTTTACTCGTCAGAAGGTTGCAAAAGATGTTGACATGACTCTGGGATACTGCAACTGTCATAAATATCAGTCAGTTGCCAAGTATAAGAATGTTGATCATGTGACCATGGGGCTGCTGCAACTGTCGGACGTGTGAAAAATCATGTCATTTTTTAAAAGTGCCGTTGTAACTTCAAACAGTCACTAAATGAACTGTTGTAAGTTGAGGACTACTTGTATTCCATAGGGTAGGGAGTTGCCACAAAAAAGGCACGCTTCCTCTCACCCGTAAGGTGACCGTTTTAAAGGGAAGGGACTAGGAATTTGCCACCCTATCTATTTGGACAAGTAGTTGTAGTTAGGAAAAGGGAGTCCCAGATAATCTGACCCTACGCAATACAGTTATTGCACAGGCACTACCATGCATCTGGATCCCTAAGCTAAGTAAAAAAAAAAAACCATGACTTGAAGAATTTACAAAATGCCAGCAGGATTGGGGCCAAACTAATGTTGGAGGAGGGGGGAAAATTATGCTCTTAAAAAGCAGGTGCTGCAACAAAAAAGGCTCTCTTCATGGACTCCACCAAATGGCACTCCCTAATAAATAGTATTGGGAGCGCTCTTTCCTGCTGAAACCAATGGGATAAGTAGACTTAACTGGGGAGATGCAGTCTCTCAATGTTTTGCTCAATGCCACAAATTGAGACTTGTACACTTTATTAGTTAGCATTATATGAATCAACATCCTATTTGATAAACGTTGATGGAAAAACATTGTGGTGATGTGTGTGTGTGTGTGTGTGTATTTCTCTTTAGCCAGGTTCTTCCTACGTAAACCAAGATTTTTATGCAGTCCTAGTTCAGTGAAATCACAATCCACTAGTTTCTAGGCTTTTTTTTTTTTCTGGCAGCCAGCAAACACTCAGCTGCCCATTGGGAGACTACTCTGCAACTGTCATAAACACATGCCACTTGCCAAGCATCCAAACATCGATCACATGATCAGAGATATTGCAACACTTGGGTGAAAAACTAATATGTCACATTTCTCAGTGCTGTTGTAACTTTAAACTATCATTAAACGAATGATTTTAAGTTGAGGACTATCTGTGTGTTTGTGTGGGTGTGTGTGGGTGTGTGTGTGTAAAAACTATGCTACATATTTGCTTGCAACATAGCCTCAGACAAATCCAACCCCATGAGTATAACACAAATATATGGCTTAGCATGAAAGAGCTAACTACACACCTTGCATATGAACTAAACCATGATTTTAAAAACAATTTGGTGTAGAGTGTAATGTAAATTACAACACAGCATTTTAAAAAATAAACTCAATTATGTATCACTTACTTGCTTCTACCATCTAACAATGGAATTTATGCATAAAGTAATAATGTGCTAAAATGGCACCATTGGCTTCATGGAATGCACTAAATTAAAACCAAGCAAACTACATTATGGCCTAGCACAATTTGTAAGCCCTATCATTGTCTTTCAATTCAATTCAGAAAAATCTGAGATGCTGTGAAGATTTCCCTACTCTTCAAGCTCTTTGAAAATTCATGCCACTCTCTCCTGGTCTGTTATTTCTATTCTGCCTATTTCCCTGATAATGCAAGTAATACAGCTTGTTTCAAGGAGGCTCTTTCAAAATATCTCTCTCAAAAGTACAATATATAGAATAGTTTAAGGCACACATCCAATATTTTACAAACCGAAAGAGCAATATATTTATACCCTGCATAAATGCCATTCTCTTTTATGATCGTTTTATTTATAGCACTCCTGCACTAACATCAGTTGAGCCAGGAATGTCAATTAGAAGTCTCATCTCTTGTTATTTCCGATGCTCTTAGGAGGCATCTCATTGTTCTCAGTAGCTAGCCCGTCCGCTCAGTTGTTTATACGCCTTATGAATTCCCCTTATCCAAAATCACTCTCCTTGCCCCTGCCCGCAAGATATAGACAGCTCTGGGTGGGCGACATCACCAGAGCTCCCCTTTCCTGCGACAGCAAGACTTGCCAGGAGGATAATCGTAATTCCCGTTTCCCGCCCCCAACAGAAGGGGCCACACATCTCCCAGGAGCTGCAGCTCGGTCGGTCGACATTGACACATTCAGCACCACCGAGCCCTACGGCTACTCTGGGGAAGGGAAAAACACACAAAACCCTGCTCTCCGGCACTTCTAATCTACTCCGAAGTCAAAACGCTACCGAGTAGCAAGCAGGCCGCTCCCCGGGCATTGTTTCTTTCTGCCGACAAGCCCAGCATAGCAAATCTCGATTCTGGAGCTTTAGGCCCGTTCGATCGGTCGCCGCCGCCGCCCTGCCCCGGAGCCGATTGCCGGGCAACGACGCCTTACCCAGTTTGAGCTAGGCCGCAGTTCTCCTTATACCCAGCAGCCACGGTAGCCGCGTTTAGAAAGAGCTGGCGGGTAACTGCATCTCCTACCGGCAAAAAAGCAGGCACCTCCTCCGAGGCGGGGCGGACTACATTGCAGCCGGCGACACCAGCCTCCGACTCCCACCGCACCTGAGAGCGGGGCCTTCTCCGGCCCATGTGACAAACAAAGGCAGGGGTGTCCGCCTCCCAGTAACGAGCATGCGCACAGTAAGGAGCGTCCTCGGCTCGCCCGGCCGGTGGGAAACGGGAAGTTAGTCGGGCTCCTCTTCGAAGAGGAAAATGCGAAGTAGCGCCTTCAATCGTTCAAGCGTCTCGCGTGCTGCTAACTCCCATCTCTCTCCCAAGAGGGAACCGGGTCTCGGGCTGCAGAACTCGGGAGTCGTTCATATGCGCAGTTCGGCCGGACTAAAACCGTCTGGGATGCAACAAGTGCAGCGCGCGTAGGTTTCAAGACTCGCGGCTTGTTTTACTCGCGTGCAAGGTGAAGACGCCCGATGGATACTACTACTCCAGGGAGGGGAGGGGAGGGGGGGACACACCCAGAAAAACTTCCTTACGCAGGTAACAACCTACCCGCCCAGTTCAGTGGATAGTATCTTTTTCTATACTGAAGAAAGCCTGGAAATTCACTCTTGAGAGCCTGATTTTCTAAATTTAGACTTGGCTGTTCCTAGAAAACCTACGGACATAACTTTGGCCACCAATTATTTCCAAAAAATGTCCAATTTTCTAACAATTGTCCTGCCATGTTAAAACTATAACAAAATACACCTGTGCACTGAACTGAAAAAGCCAATGCTAAATGTTCTATTCAAATCAATTAGTTTATTTTTGTTCCTATTTCTATACCACCCTAGTTTGAGCTATCTTGCTTCATATTTACAAAAAACCTTTTAACTGAACAATATTGCTTTACAGCATGTGAACTAAAGAATCCATATTTCATATGCAAACCCTTTCCCCCTTTAAAATCCTTTTAACGATAAATTAATCCAAAAATAAATACTGTAACAAATACAGCATCTGGATAGCAGTTATTCATTCATTTGCAGAAAATACAAGACCCTTAAAAGTCTATTTCTTTAACATTTCAAAGCCTTTTGTATGTTAGAAATTTGTAGCAAGAATCACAAAAGAGTAAGAAACAGGTACAAATTAATACCTATCTTTTTTACAAGTATTTGGAAAATGGACACATTTGGTGTACAATCAGCATCAAGAACATTCTATGAAATAGTATTCACTACAAGTGCAATCAGCAAGAACACAAATTTTGACACAATTGGTTTCTTTCCAACAGCTCCTCTGGGCTATTATTTTCACTTCTAAAATGCTTATTCTAAATTCTATGCATAAAATTCCATTAAATTCAAAAGTTTGATTTATATCCCACCTTTTATACAGGGGCTCAAGAAGATGTACACAGTGCTCTCTCCTTCTTTTCCACACAGCAAGAACCTTATGAGATTGGTTGAACTGAGAAATAACAAAATGGCCCTAAGTTGTCCAGTAAGATTCTGTGGATCAGGGTAGACTAGAACTCAGGTCTCCTCACTTTTAGTCCAGCAATGTGTACATAGTCATAGCCATGAGCATCCATAAGATCTTGCTGCTGAAAGCAGCATCATGTTGCAAGCTTTATTCCTTTTATACAGGGTCTGTAATATATGTATCACAATATATATAAGCGTTAGTCTGGCATCCTGTTGCCATTTTTAGCATTCTCCCCCCTATATTTTTAATTACTATTTATCAAAAAACTATGACTTTAAAAAATAAAAAAAGCTATGATTAAAAAAAGGAAAATAAACAATCTACTATCAAACTAAATTTTAAAAGATGTCTTTTAAAATAGTATAAAATAAGCTCTTTTGCATTTTTCTCAGCACATAACCACAGCCTAAACTGAGGAGGCCAATTTTTACAACACTGAAAGCATAGGATTATTTCAGCACTTATTTACTAATTTTCTGCTTTATGCAATGTTAACTTGTCACTTAAAATATGATCCCATTCAAATGAAACATTCTTAGGGATTAAGCATTTAAATCTACCCATAGTATCTACATCCAGAAATCTAAAAATCAAGTGCAAGATCCAGATCATAAAGCTACCTCCATCTCAGTGATCCCTAAAAGTGGGTATGGAACCTACCAACAAACTGTAAGAATCTTGTAGATGTTATTACCATGACAGAGAAATTGCTATTAGAAATAACGCAATCCCTGAATCTATTTGATTAAGACATTGAGGCAAGATATTCTGACATTATAGCATGTTCTAGAGAGTGTTAAGAACAACCTTGTTCTGAAATAGCAATCCATTATGTTCTATTGACTTTCCAAGTTCTGGAATAAAGGGCACTTAGCAACCAAAATGAAGGAAACATTGAGAGACAAAAGGTACTCAAGAAAATGGCTTCAGCAGCCTTAACATTTTCAATAGTTTGTCCTTTGACACATTATCAATTTCATGGAGAGTTTAGATAATTCAGATTTCAAGACATCACTATCAAACATTTAAACCAGATTGCTAGGATATCTTTTCATACTTGTTTGGGATGTAGCAGATTTTAATATTTTTGAAATCCTTGCTTAGAAATAAAGCACATATTTCAGTTTAAAATACATACTTAAAAATACATTGTGTTTCCAAAATGTAAATAATACCAGGGGCTTGATATATGTAAGATAATAGTAGTATAACTATACAGGTGTCATAATTCCAAAAGGAGAAACTAATAGTAAAAGTCTTAAACTCTTCTTTTTGGGCATTACCGAGTACTACAAGTAAGTAACTCTGGATTATGCAAGCAAAAGAGCCAGGTTTACTGGCCATTGATCCCTGTATTTATTACATTCTTATCTCCATCTCCCTCTTCTCAGAAAATGAATCTATGGAGGAAGTTCAACAACTGCCAAGAAATGAAGACAGCTGAGAAGTTAATGTGAAAAATCAGTAGCAACTACTTTCAGCTGCCACTGTTGCTCAATTACTACATCATCACAACACATGAGAAGTAACCATGATCAAGAATAAACTGCATGCTCATCTGTCTCCTTTTTGGCAGTGGCTGTAGTTATTAATGAACTTTTTTGTTCAGTTGGGAGGAGGAAAAGATTCTTCTGCAGATAATTGTGCATATGATATAATAAAATCGGGATTACCTACTGTTACATTTTCAATATATATGACGGGTTCTTCAGTATGGAAACAAAGCTAAGTTGTTTAAGAGTGCTTATTTTCTCCTTATGAAAATGTAGTTCATGTAAAACTTAGCAGTTTGCTTATTTCTTCATAGTACTAACAGTGGCAACTCCTAAAAGTCATTCACTCATACAAGGAAGTGAGCAAGCAGGAGTATGGCTTTATGCTGTGTTCCTTTAGCTGGAGAATGTAAAGAAAACCATTGCCTAAAACTTTAGGTAGCAACTAAATCCCAAGTCTTTGGGGAGGATACCCACTAGGCATTAATTGTAGCTTATAACATCTAACTAGCAGTGGTGGGATCAGACTCCTTCTGAAATATTCTCAATGTTTGTGCCTTTAGTGGCACTGTTCCTAAGGCAGTGCCTTTTTTTCCACCAAAAATCAAGAATGTAGTTATTACTTCCAAGGAAAAGAGATGAGCAAGTGGTGGCAGGTACCTTTTCGAATAACGATGGCCACTCACTGCAAAATAAACTACTAGCAAAATATTAAAAATAGTAATGGCTTCATCTACTTAACATACCTGACTTCTTCCTTTAAGCAGTGGGAACTGGAGAGGCTGGACTGCCATCTGTCAGAAATGGTGTAGGATCTCCTGCTTGGGTGTGTGGGTGGGTGGGTGTGTGTCTGTGTGTTGGATTAGATGACCTACAAGGTTCCTTCCAACTGTGTTAATCTGTTAAACTGCATTGATAATAATCGGGTCACATTAGTAACTGGCTTGATAGCCAGTAAACTAAAATCCTCACTTTCTTCCACCAGACAAAAGGCGGTGCCACCAGCTGTGTTCCACAGCAGGCCTGCCCACCATTTATACAATTCACCCACACTAACCTCCTGGACTAGTTCATACGTTACTAGGATGATATCAAGCGGGCTAGTTGGTGGTTCTGCGCATGAAAACGCCGGTTTTCTATTAAAAGTGCCTATTAAAAGAGGAGACGCCCACTGCAAAGGACGTCCCTCTGAACGCCTCTTAGATCCCACAGCCAGCCCTACCAGAGCCTCACCAGCCACATGGGACCCTATGTAAAGAAAAGAAGTGGGGCTTCAAATGGCGCAAACCACAGAGGTTGTCAGATCGGCTTCTGCCTTTAGGTCCCCGGGGCATCCATAGCACGGGAAGGGCCTTACACCTCGCTGTCGAGTGAGAGAAGTGGCCAGTGAAGAAGAAGGATGGAGCGTGACTTCCCTCATACCAGTGACTCTGCTCCGCAGCCCCAGCCTTCCCCGCTACTCGGACAGTCATTGAGGGAGAAAAGGGACACTTACCGAAGCCAAGGAGAAAGGTAAACCCCAGGCCTCTCCTCGCCACCGTTTGAAATCACTAAGGATGTCCACACCTCCCAATATCCCAGCTCCTCATTGGTTTCCACCGAGAATACCCGCCTCTTCAACTTGGAACCGTATTGGCTAGTTTGAATCTGGCAGTTGCGGCCGGGTTCTCGCAAGAAGTGGGAGGCAGCAGCGGCGTCGGCGTCTTGTGCTTTTATTCGGCTGCTCTTTCTTGTTGGTTTTTCTTTTCTTTTCTTCAGAAACGTCAACCCTTGTGGTGGTGGCCGGCCTAGGACCTTGGCAACAGCCTCGGTCTCTATTTGCAGAACCCGGCGGAAAAGAAAGCAAGGAGGGCGCCGCAAGGAAGTGCCGGCTCTAGGCTTCAAACGCGAGCTCAAAGAAGCCCCAAGCCCCAAACTGGATTGCCGTGCCTCCCTCCTCCCTCTTGCCCCGCAGTTCCTGACAGGGCTGTTAGGCTTTCCACAGGGATAATGCTTTGACTTAAGGTAGCAAAATAATGTATGTCTGTATAGTTGTTGAAAGGACGGCGTGTGGTGAAAAGAATGGGGATGCTTGTTTCCTTAGTGGTGAATTTTTACTTAGGGACAGCGGAAAAACTGAAATGGAGAGGATATTTTTAAAAATAATAAAATGACTGCCAGAAACCCAAATATTGCCCAGAATCTCTTAGAGACGGGTGGCCTATAAATTTAATTCATTTGAGGGACATAATCTTTTGAATATCTATGGAAGGTTACATCTAGTGGACCTTGGTTTACCTTAAAAAAGCTAAGAAGGAATGGCTCTGCTTAATACTTAGATGGGAGACTATCAGAAAATTCCAGGGCTATAAGGACATGTTGGGAAATAACACATTTTGAAGGAAAAATAGCAAACCATGCCCATATTAAAGCCTTTTACGGTTTGGTTCCCGAGTGCTTACAAAACTTTTTTTATGATCTCAATTGGCCCAATTTATTAGGAAAAATCTTTTAATCCTAACCCACAACTGGAAAATTACGGAAGACCATTGCTTTCAATGGAAACGCTGATGTTTCTGTGTAATCAAGCTGGGGCCATCCCTAGGTACATTCAAGAAGATGTTGAAGACAAAAGATATTCCAGAGAATGGTTTTATTTGTTGACAACCATCTTTTCTGTTTGTTTTATTATTTCAGTACTATAAAACTTCGTGTTATGTGGATGTTTTAAATATTTTCTTCTTTGTAAATCACTGAAAGATAACTATTGTAGTGGAGCAGAAATGTAATACATAAAATATTACTGTCAGGTGAACAATATATACAGGAGTTGATATCTACCTATTTATATTTTTAATCCTTGCAATGTTTTAATATTTTGGATACTAACTGCCAAGTACATTCAAAATTATCTTCCATTCAGTATTTGGGAGCCTTGATGCAGTAACAACTAAATCTCCATGGAAACCATTTTCTATTACTTATTCTAGTGCAGGGCTGTCAAACTTGTGGCCCGCGGGCCGGATGCGTCACATGCTGGCCACACCCACACCCAGTTTAGCTAAGGGAGAAAAAGTTGTGTGACAACGCTGTGACAACCCCTGCTCTAATGAGTTACTCTTGGTGAGTGGGGTTTTGGCAGAGAAGTTGGCATTCAGAGGAGGTTTCTAAAATCTGCCCAGAACAGGTAACAAAACATTTTATTTTAATTTAATTTCAGATTCTATGCCTTTCTTTTATTTGTCTTCTCTAATTAAACCATAACGTATCTTGCCCTATCCTACTGGATGTGGATTATAGAAATCAAGAAGTCAGAACACATATACAATCAAAAGCTGGCATAGGTATACAAGCATTTTCATGGTGAAAATTGAAACAGTCAGTGCACCAGTTCCTACATGCATCTGGAGGTAGAGACAGACAAAAGCAGGCTGTTCTGAAGTTAATGCTCATGGCATAATAAATATTGAAAGGGAATAGATAAGGGATATAGGAAGAATGAGATTCAGGATATGTAGATCATATACATTCTACTATCAAAAGTTCATGCTACATATAAAGCACATAATCCCTTTGCATTTAGAGTATTTAGATTTCACATTAGATTATTACATACGTTGATTTCAGTTTCTAAAAATATAAATATAGGAAGTTTCCAAGTTTAACAAGCATGAAAATAGTTCAAATTAAGTTGGCAAAAAAGTTTCAAAACACATTAAGCGATATGAAAATAATATGAGTCTGATATGAACCACTTTGATTTTAGCAGGGAGCCAGCTTGGCCCAGCAGTTAAAGTGCTGAACTAGAAGCATGGAAACTTCACTTTAGTTCTGCCTTAGGCTCAAAAGCCTGCTGGATCATACTGGGCCAAACACTTTCTCTCAGTTCTAGGAAAAAGGAAGCACAAATAACTTCTAAAAATGCTGCCCAGATAATTGGATTGATTTCTTCATTTGGTCACTAGGAGTCAAGTCTGACTTGAAGACAGAACCAGAGGAGAATAAAGTACCATTTAAATTTGTTAGATTGCCCAGGTAGAAATTGCTAAACTCGTAACCAGCAACAAAACATCCTATAGGAATGCTAGGAATCGTTAGGTGTTTCCTACTTTAAAAATGCAGATAATTTCTAAATAACATGTTATAGTAAGAAATTATAATTTAGAGTCAATTCCTAGATAATATTGTGTTCTGGGATAAAGTTTTTTTAATTTATCTATCTAGCCATTTTATTGATATTTAAGATTAATGCCAGGATTAACTGATAATTCAAGACGAAGTACAGTAGCCTATTCTTACACGTGTTTAGTGAAACATTAAAAACACGTGTTTTTAATGTGTCTTAATTTCCAGGACACAAAATATAGAATTTCTGACTCGGCTATTATTAACAGTTAAGCCATTTAAGGAGATAATACGTGATTTATCTTTACATGATTGAGCCAAAACTAGATACAGGTAGTCCTCAGATTACAATCATAATTGAGCGTAGGTCACTGTGGTGGTAATCATGTGACCAGACCTAATTTTTGACACTTTTTGTAACAGTTGTTAAGTAAACACCAGAGTTGCTAAGTGAACATCATACTCATTAACCAAATGCTGTTTGTTAAATGAATCCATTTTCCCCAATGAGCTTTTTTTGCCAGAAATACAAATAAACTTCAGAAACTGGCAAAAAACCAGCACAAATTGTGCTCATGTGACCGCGGGACATTGCAAACAGCCATAAAGATAAGCTAGTCGCCAGATACCCAAAATCCGATCGTGTGGCAGTATAGGTGGAGCCATTGTAACTTTGAAAACAGGTCATAAATAACTGGGTCCGTCATAACATCAAATGGTCATTATGCGACAAGTGGTAAATCAAAGACTACCTATAAACACATTTTAATCTCAGATTAATATGAAATCCCATGTAGCCAGATTCCCGTAACTGTTCTTCGTTTCCTGTAGCTCATTCTTTTTTAAAAAAATATGATTGCATGTACTTATTTAAAATGTTTACTTTTGAGCTCTGACAAAATTACCTAGACTTTGTTGCCTGCTACAATATATAGTATACTTCATTCTGTAGCCAGGATCCCAATTCTGACATTTTAGGCAACTTTTAACATCTTTTAAAAGCCATCTTTCCCAGCCATTACCCCCCTTGGTGTTTTCATTTTAATTGATTTTTAAAATTCTGTTTCATAATACTAATATTTTTTAAAGTGCGTCAGGATTTTCTACATAAGTAGGATAGATAAATTTTAATAAATAATATTTACAGGACCAAAGGATTTATGTGGGGTTTTAGAATGATAGCTTGTTTATTATTCCATGTATTTGTTGAAAGCATATAACATAGCAATAGTTTTATATTACGGAGCTCTAATGCTATCAATATGCAATTTTGCATGTGGAGGATTTTGAAGTGACAAATCAGCCATTTAAGAAATCCTGCCAATTCACAATAGCTAGATTGGGCAGTGTGCAAGATTGATACAAATTTTTAATCTTGTGGATACTTTAAATTCACTTGTCAGAACCATAGGAAAAATATGTTATTCTAAGGCATGGAGTCCAAGCTTAGATCATCAAGAAAAATGGCTATGGCACTACCGTACCAAACTGTAATTTCAGATGTTGTGCTTTCCATGAAGTTCTCTAGGATGCATCCCACAGCAATGCTATTATTTTGTCTACTCTAGGTTCCGTCCACTATTCTTTTGCCTATATGATATAAAATACATGTTTTCTTTATTTATTAGTAGTTAATACTTTTAAAGTTAAACAATCTTGTTTTAATAGGAATGGAGCATGTGTATCAGCTTTATTTTTAAGCTAGCAAGTTTCAGTTTGGGCTACTGTAGTACTATAAGGAAGATTAAAATTGGAAGAAAACAAATTAATTTACAATCCTGAAAAGGAATTTAAGAGAATGTTCAATAATGAGGTACCTATTTTCATTACCATCTAGACTTTTATAACAAATCAGTTCATGTTTTAGATTAATCAGTCTTCTTATTTATATAAACAGGAAAACACTTGGAAACTTTGAATTGGTTCCATTTTATGACATGGCTCTGGGAAATAGTATATTGAGAATAAAGACATGCTGATCTAAGGTAAAAACATTCACAGGTCACAGGTTTGTTAATAGGGAGTAGAAAACAGATGAGTGTACACTGTTTAAAATGCATTATTAGCATATTATCAGCATGACAGATGCAAATATCTTTATGCTACATTTGTTTTAAAACAATCTAGACAATATCAACCTCACTGAATTAAGAAAATCATAACTTTTAACATTCAATCCCAAATGTGTAAATTAATTCCACCAATGAATTTCCATTTCCCTGGCTTCACATTACTCCTAAATTGCTTGTATCTTCAGAGAAGTTGAGACTTTGTGAAGTCTATTTGTTTAGGAGGCAGGTTTGGTTAATGTGTAATTCACAATTTAAATGGACAGCAAATTGATTTTTTAGAAACCTAAGAGTTATATTAAATTATCATAATTCCCTAAAACAGGCCTGTCAAACTGGCGGCCCGCGGGCCGGATATGTCATGCGCAGGCCACACCCACCCCAGCTCTGCAAAGGCAAAAAATGTTGTGATACGTCATGATTCGGCCAATGACCTGATCTAGTTTGACACCCGTGTCCTAAGATATTGAATATAGCAATACGGTAACTATAAAAATGGCATCATTTCAGCAGGTAACATTAAAATCATTACAAGTGGATGCAGGGAAGTTACTATCATTAGTTCAGAACATATGGGAGAAAAAAATGCTTTTTACATAGTAAATGAGTGCTCAAAAATTATTCCCCACTCCTGGCCTTTCCATATTCTGTATAGTCCCAGTGCAATGAGACTTGCTTTTTTTTTTTTTAACATGCAAGCAAAGAACCATGAATTAGGTAATGTTCAGTCAAAGCGTGCTAGCACAAGGGAAGTTGATCCTTGCTTGTTTTACAAGTGAGATTAGAAGAGTTGGTGCCATTCCTTCAGTTTTCTGCTTTGCTGACACTGTTTTGGGTAAAATGGAAGAGAAGGGCAAAGGATTTTGAAGAAGCAAGTAAAGTATACAATTAGAATGTGCAATAGAAAGCACCTTTATCTATGAAAAAGGATTCAAGTGCAATTTAGTACATATAGCTGGGATGAAAACACTACTGATCTCTGATGAAACTTTTTCTTTTAACTGAATTCCTATACTCAGAATCACACATCCCTCTTTATGTCAGAAGAATGGCTTCATATTTCACAATTTTTTTAATCAAATGAAATGGATTCAATATTACTATATTTACTGCTACAAAGCTGCATGCCTGACTGCAATTTGCTTTTCTCATTCCTCAAGTGTAAAGAAGTTTTAATGGCTACAAAGATTGGAACCAACTAAAAATAAATATCGTTAAGATCTAGTTTCCCCCTTCTGCATGTAGAAGAATAGATAAATACAATATAGCTAGCTAACATAACTTCTCCATGTTGTTTCTGATTATTCAATGGAAAATGTTTTCCCCAAACTATATAGACAAAGCAGATAATATGGCTGTAAATGAGGTATTATCTCAAGTCAAATAATATCAATGAAAAAGTTTTCAGAAGAGGAAAAGGTCAACTGGAAATCATGAAAATCATCGAAAAATGATGCTACTGCAACTCCCCAAATTTACTGCCAGCTTTGGATATGCAGGCTGGAATTTCTGGGAACTGCAGTATCAACGTCTCTGGAGGATATCAGATTAAGAAAAGCTGAATTAGACCTAATAATGGCTTTAACCTTCATTATTTCTCTTGTAATATTAATGTATTTGCTAAGTGGAGATTTTACAGAAAATCAGTTCCTATGGGCTTAAAATTATTCTCACTGCTTCCACATTTCAATCTATATCCAAGATTCAAAAAGTAAGACAAATTTGGACACGAGAATCCTTGCAGAGGAGTATGAAAATACATGGCTTAAGTACCTTGCCAGCTGTCTTTTGAAAATGCAGCACCTATTTTTTCATCACAGCTTATCTGACAATGGAGATATCACATGAACTTCCTAATTTTCATCTATATTTTTAAATGTATACCTGCAAACGGCAAAGGAATGGATATACTTCCTCGGTGTTTTACAGATGCATTGGATCTGATGCTAGGAGAGTATGAGAGTTGAAATTCAGTAGGTCTGAATTATTATTTTTTTTGTAAGAAAACAATGTGCAAATATTTAATTTAAGCAATCACAATTGAGACCAGTAACTGAAGTGATCCCTATGAGAAAAATCACACAGCTGTGACTGGGTTTAGGATTTTATTTCAGCTTTACTTTGCTTTAGAAAAATATGAATATATCTTCCGTAGTATCTGCCTCACTTGTTTGATCTAGCATGATTGGTGTACTCTGGGTCCCATCAATTAAACAATGTCATCTATTGGTGCCTTGGAAGTGTGACCTTCTCTACAGCAGTGCTTGGCCTCTGGAATGAAGTTCCCCCTGAGATTTAAACAGCTGCCACCTTGTGGTATTTCGAAGAGCCTTAAAGACTTGCCTATTTATATTAGCCTTTGGAGAGAACGACCATTTTAAAATTTCTGTTCCCTTTTTGGTTTATTCTCTTCGCCATTGAATTTCTTCTGTCATGCTACTTTTGTATAGGTGGTTCCCCCCCCCCCCATTCTGCGTTTTTAAATGTACAGTTTTAAGCTACCCAGAGTCATTGGGAGTCGGGCAGCATATAAATTTAATAAATTATTTATTACCCAAATGGGTGGGCCCAAACCAGAGGTTGTTTCTGGAACTTGATTCACAAGGAAGCTAGGAAATAGGGCAAACTTTGTATTCTTTTCCCCCCATTCCTCTGTCCTTTGGAATACTCACCCCAAAGCTGAGATAATTAGCAAGAAGAGAATTGATTATTATATTTCCATTCATTGAAAAAGGAGAGATTACTAGAGAGTAGGCAGGCACACACTGGGGAACACATATTGAAAGCAATGGACTAGCCAGCTGTTTGCCTTGATTTTCCTGTCTATGGAGATTCTCAATCATCCAAGTCATGGCTGTCTCAGAGGTACTTTTTTCAAGAGGCAATTGGACTAGAGATGCAGAAGCTTCTTGGATGAGAAACAAAACATCTTCAAAGAAAAACAAGAAAATCCAGTTGCCTCTTGAAAAAAAGAAAAAGAAAAGCACCTCCTCCTGAGAGCCAGAATCCTCTTAGAGCCAAACAAAAGACTTTAGCAAGAAATTAATTAAGATCTTGTCATTTTCAAGCAGCAGCTACCAGCTGGCTGGAAGGTTCTAATCAACTAATTAAAGTCACAGTGCTGAGCTTGTTAAGTTGTGGTTAGTACTTTTTAGGGACTTGGACAAAAGCAGCTCGGGAAGAGCTAAGAAGCTATATCTCTGCTCTATGAGGGGGCAAAAGGAAAAAAATGGGTCAGGCAAACCACAATATGGTACCATGCTGAATGACTGTAATAGCAAATGTGGCAGAGTGGGAGAGGAGATGCTGCAAAGGTGGTAAATGCAGGCATTGGTCACAAATTTTCATCACATTTATAACTGAAGCAGTCGCTAAATGAGTACTACAGATATATGGCAGAGTGCAAAAGTTGGATTCCCTTTTAATTAGTACTTTCCAACATCTTTATAAAAGATTTTGGAATGGTCTTCCCAGGAGTGTCACACACAGGCCACACCCACACAACTCCATGAATGGAAAAACATCGTGAAATGTCACATGACAGCAACGTGACATGGCGAGTTTGACACCTGTAGTCTTCACAATCCCCAGTCTTTAATACAATTGAAAATCTGTAGGAAGATCTCAAATGTGCAGTATATGTAAAATAATTCAAGAACATTTCTGAGCTAGAAGATTTCTGAAAGGGAAAATTTGAAAACTGAAAATAGACTCTTAGCTGGCTATCAGAAATATGTGAGACACTTATTTCTGTCACAATTACATTATTAGATACAAAGTTTGAGACTAATAGTAACCACAGGTCAATTAAATGAGATCAAATTTAGCTCTTTCTGACCTACCCACTCCTCTTTAGATGGTATTTTTTGTGTCTCACTAAAATGCCAGTTGGCCTAGAAAAAGTTTCATGATTTACTTTATGAAATTAGAAAATAACCATAATACATTTTGTTTAAAAAAATGCATAAGGAAGGTGTACTTATTATATTCCAATGTATACCTATTATGCCACCAAACAGACTTTCAAATCTAGATTGAACTGATGTATAGCAGATACAGGTATTCCTTGCTTAGTAACCACAATTGGGAGTGGCAACTATTGTTGAGCCATGCGGTCATTAAGGGAACTCTATTGTTAAGCCATGCGGTCATTAAGGGAACAGACTTATCCCGATGGGAAGACATTACCACCAATTGCAATTTGTGACCTTATATCTTCATTGACTGCTTATTGGAAGCTGATTGTGAAGCGTGCAAATAGTGATCATGTGACCATGGGATGGTGTGATGGCTGTAAATGCCTGTTTGTGAAGCGCTCAAATGACGATCACAGTAACTGCTGCAACGGTTGTAAGCTTAAGAATTGATCATAAAGTTACTTTTTTCTAAAATCTGACTTTGCCATTGTAACTTCAAACGGTTGCTAAACCGGGCAGTCATTAAGCAAGGTCTACCTCTAGAGTGATAAATCTGGAAAGAACAGTTCAGTACATTGAGACCTTTGACAAGTTTACATAAATCAGTCAACTTTCTTTTTCAGAAAGATTGTAATACAAAAATAGAAGCAATGTTAACTGTTCTACACAATAATCCATATTTAAGTGCTAGTAGCCACTTAATCCCACAGTCTAGGGTTCAGGTGCTCATAAAAATTAAGTAAATTTTTACTTATCTGACTTTTAGTAAGATCTCTCTGAAGAGAATAGTCTTAGATACTTATGGAAAATAATGTTTTAGGTAGGGCTATGTTTCCACTTCTTCCCCTATGATGTTCAGAATTCAAAGAGATGAAGGTACAGAGAATATAGCACTTATTAAGTATCAGTATAGGAAGAGTCAGTTATGGAAACATAGCATAAAATAGGCAATGCATGTCCATCTATGGAACTCCATCATTAGAGTTTAAAGACTAATTTATCATACACTAAAGCAATGGTCAATAAACAGTCAAATCTAAACAGATAAGAGCCTGAAACTGAAAAGACAGTTCAATTAAACAACTTTCCCCAATTTCATGCCCCCCAGAAATACTAGATTTCATAAATTCTCATCTGATCTTGCTGCTTAGAACTGGCAAATAAAATGGAAGGATATATTACTTAAAACAGCTAAATGCATACACAAAAGCAGCCATCCTTGCGGCCATTATACGGCTGCTATGACCAAGCTCTGTACTGAAAGGATCCCTTTGAACATGATCAGGGAAACATTTTTCTACATGTATTATTATTCTAGATAATTTATCCAATGCTCGAGTGTAGAAATTGTTAAGTCAACTTGCTGATAACAGTATATGTTTGGAAAAGAACAGAAAGCTATATTTCTTTCAGTGGAAGAAATGATGTAATAAAATTACAACATGATGATTTTAACAGAGGTAAAAAATAATCTTGCAGAGGTCCATTTGAATTTTTTCTGCCTTCCTGCTTGAACAATACACAAAGCAGAAAGCAGATGGATGACTAGTTTGGGCACAGGAAATTTGTGCTCTTCATCAAGACTGATGTCACAGGTACACAACCATTGTCCATGCATCTTTCACTGACCATGGGGGAGCACTGCAGGACTAGAATGAGACAATCACATTTTCCCAGAGAATACCTCATATGGTTAATAGTTCTAGATAGGACTTCCGTAGAACTTCTGTGTTGTCAAATAAAGTTTGGACAATGTGCAAAACAGTATTCGTTGTTGTGTAGTCATCACCCACAGTGCATATTGTGAAATGGCAGTTTCTCAGCTTTTGACTTTTTGTTATAGAATGAGTAATAGCATCAGTTTTGATATAGTTAAAAAGGAAGGATTTTTATATAAGCAAATTATTTGTAGTGTGCCATCTGTCACCTTAATTGCATTATTTCCTATCCACATACATTATTTTTCAATTGCACACACCCACTTTTTGACACCACATTTTGTCTGCTCAACTAATACAGCAAATATGAGAAAAAAGGTGCAGCTAAATTATTCCTTCCAGGATTTCTAAAGAGAAAAGACTGGCAAAAAATAAGTTAGAAGAAGACCCCTATTTTTCAAAAGAAAATTGGAACTGGATTTTTGCTACACCATTTTGTTCCAGATACTTAAACCTAATACACTGCTTTTGTGTTCCACACATATTTCAGCAGCACAGTTTTTCAGCAGTTGGCCCTGGGAACCAGGTAATAAGAATGATTAAATAACATTGCACCAGAATTTCCCTTGCAGGTCCAAACTAAATGGAAGCCCAGTGAAAATGGGAGAAAAAACAATCTATCCCGGAAACAGAATTGTAAGTTCTATCTATATTTTAAAAAGGATATTATGATGGATATCACAGGACCAATGACTGTTGCCAGCAACAGACTTTACCCTCTTAAATTCCTCACATTCTATATTAGACACAGCAGTGGTTCCCCCGTTTGCAAAAATGGTGGTGATATTTTATTGTTCCTTGCAATTAACTTTCAGATGTATTTGCTCTCCCTGTACAGAACCTGTGAAAGTGACCTGTTCTTGTATTCCCTTGCTCACTTCAGGCAGTTCAATTGGCCCTAATCCTTTCCTCTTAAAACAGAAGGAGTACAGTGCAAAATCCAGTTAGTGCCAATACCTTCTGAGAAAAGGTAACAGGTATCAATTATGGCTAAGTTCATAAAACTGGCCACTGAAGATTTGGAATCTTTGACCAGCTTATGCACAAACCCAGATGAAATCTGTGTCAGATTCAAGTGAAAAAGAAACTGCTACTAGATTCAACACCACAGCTTCTAGGATGAAAGGACGTATAAATAAACATGATCTAGCAGTGAGTGAAAAGGGTCCCTTAGCTGTGTTCCAGCTGCCTCAAAGGCACAGTCCAGCTCAAATGCTTCTGCAAAGGAAGTCTCTGGACTCCAAACTTTTTCGTTGAATAGAAGGCAGGATCCTATTTCATCAATATGAAAGATGACAGTAGGAGAGACAAGTCTCTGCATATCCTTTAGACTTCACTTTCTGTTGAGGGTTTGCGTTGGTGCTTCCAGCCTGTGTCTGGAAGGGAGCCATGACATTCAGGAGTAGTGGCTGCAGTGATGCTGCTGCATTCTGACTGCTCCTCTTTCAACAATTGCTCAGTTTCAGTGTCACCGAGTGAGCCAGAGCTGGCTTGGATAGAGACTGTGTCAGTCTTCATGCATACATGGTCGCGGAGGATGCATCCCCGAGAGCTTCTTAGCTGTTTAAGATCGTCCCATTCAGATTCATCATTGGATAAGAGGCATATTCCTTCAACAATCTTGATCTTATCCTTGGTGTAACTATGATCAGGACCAGTCTGTAAACAAATAATACCAAGACATGTACAGTAAAATATAAAAAGCAGAGTACTTTTGAAAGACCAATTCTTGTCATGTGAATAAAAAAACAATGGACTATATCCTCCAACTCAGATCTTAGATGGGCAGATAATCTTCCCAACAAATCATAGTCTCATCTAAATCAGACATTCCCAGCTTGGTGCCCTCCAAATATGAAGACTAGCGGAGTCAAGAAATATAGTTTCAAATATTGAAGACCGATTTGAATTAATTCAGATTTAACAGTGTGCTACAAACAAAACAACCTATAGGGGAAAAGTTGGACTAAAGATGGGATTCTAAACAATATTGGTAGTAGGCTTCCAGGTGCAATTCAAAGTAATAGTCATCACATATAAAGGCCACTGTAACATAGGACTTGGCTATTTGCAGGATCACCTTTCTCCCATTATTTCTGCTCACCCATTAGAACTAGTACGAGAGAATGTGTTCTAGATCCCTTCCATTAAACAATGTAAACTTGTTGGACCAAGTTGTGCCTTTTCAGTAGCAGCACATGTCCTATGGAACAGCATGCCCACCTCCCAGAGACTTGGAAACTGTTGGCTTTCTGCAAGACTTGACTATTCCCACAGACATCTGGGATAGACTGGATGTGCTTTGTTGGTGGTGGTGTTGAGTCAAAGTTCCTTGGGTAGATTGTGTGTGTGTGTGTGTGAGAGAGAGAGAGAGGGGGGGGGGGAGAGAGAGAGAGAGAGAGAGAGGGAGGGGGAGGGGGGGGGGGGGGGGGGGGGGGGGGGGGAAGAGAGAATGAATTTTAATCCTGCAAGCCATACCTAGAATCATTTAGGCGAGATAAGTTAAATAAGCATGTCCAACCTGTAGCCTATGGGCCACATGCGCCCTTGGACAGTTAATAATGCAGCCCCACAAGATATCATAAAAATTATTTTAAAATAGAGGAAGCTTGTTATTTATATATGTTAACTGTATTATATATTTATATGCTGCCCAAGACAATTGCTCTTCACCTAAATGCAGCCCAGCCAAGTCAAAAGCTTGGACACACCTGGATTAAATGCAAACAAATACAGTCTCTTAATCAGATTAACTAGTGATAGAAAAACTCCTTTGACTCTTAAAATGTAAATGATGAGGAAGCAAAGAATAAAACAAACTCACAAAAACAAAATGTTATTAAGATATGCAAAATATTCTTAATTGACAAATCTGAAAAAAGGAAGCACACATCTGAGAATGATTTATGGAAGGCAAAAAGGTTTTTTAGCATTTTAGAGCTCAATATCAAATAGTAATCCATTGTTGTGAATTTTTCTAATATGTAACATTATGCCAGTATGAAATACTATCTAGCCTACCAACGTCTGAGGAATGCCTTTGCAATAAATATATTGAGAGACAATAGTAAAAAGTACAAGCAAAAATCTTGTAATTGAAAAATTAGAAGAAACTACAATTGAGGAACTACTAGAAACAATGATAATAGCAAAATCCTATTAATATAAGCAATTATTAAACTAGGAATCAATACCAAAATAACAAATGCAGAAGTTTCCCATTACATACATCTTACGGAGACCCCTCCCTGACCACAGTTCTGAGATTTGCGTCTAATCTTCAGTAGAGGAAGTAAAATAGAATAGTAAAAATTAGAAATATTGCCAATATCTGATTTATGCAATACTAAAAATGTCCAAGGGAAAATCTTTATTGAAAATGAGAAGTACTACACCAAGCAATCCATAATTAATTTTAGTATAAAAACAAACAGCACAAGGTAATATGTCTCCAAATTGAGCAAGATGCATAGGAAAGGAGAGAACTATTCAAAGTAAAGTAGTTTTTCTCTAAATCATGCTTCACCTCTTTCAAAAGGCCTCATTTGGCTGATAAGTTTTTGATTACGTGCTAGATGGAAATGTAAAAATAAAATTCAGGCAGTATAAAATGACATAACTAGGGCAATTATAAAAGAATTTCCTGTATTTCTTTCTAAGGGCAGAAACAACAACAGTAGTTCAAAAACACAAAGCAGAAAGTTAGCCAAGCAGAAGTTATGGTACATCAGAGAGCATTAGGCCACTTAACATAACAGAAAGAAGGGAGGTGAAAGTTGCACAAACATAAAGCTATGATACCTGATATGAGGCTGTGGATGGTCAAAAGAGGAATGGTGAAAGGCTATCAGAGGGGTGAGAAAGATGCTGAGGAAGAAACAGAGGAGACTTCACGAGATTTCAAAAGAAATGGCTAAACTCTCAAAACTATTATTGGTTTCCTTCAACCATAATATTAATGGGTATTAAAGCACCAATAGACACAGGGCACATCAGATCAGCTGGACCAACTCAAAGTGGAAGATACACATTATAAAGTCCTAAGATTAAAGCAGCAAAGAGTATAATTAATATAACTAAAACAAGACGTTCCAGTTTTCTGATTGCCTAAGGCAGCTAACGATTCCAATAATACAAATAAATTACGCTACTGCACTTTTTTTTTTAATGCCACAGCAGATTAATATCAAGTTCTGAAAAGAGCTCTTTACCTCTTTTTTAAAGCAGAGCTGATTATATATGGCTGGCTTGGGAATTGTTTCAATCTTCACTTCTTGGGTAGATGTCCGATAAGAGGGATTACTGTAGGTCAGATTACTTAGATTAGGATCTGTGAATTTGGATTTCTTATGCCTGCAGGAACAATATGATAAAAAGAAAACATTTGTCTTTTTATTAGATTCTGATCTACACGTTTACTGCTACCATGGAGATTTCCCTTCCTTTTATTTCCATATCAACAACGCAGTAGACAGTTCAGAGTGAGAAGGTGTGACTAGTCCAAGGCCACTCTGCGTCTCAATGCATTTCCTTAAAAATATTAGCTCTTGCAAAGTTCTACAGACAAACCCTCATCCCTACACCAAAAACCCCTAGTGAAATTCATGGCAAAATAATGTACACTTCATCAGATCTCTTCAATTAATTGTATAGTCACTGGTACATCTGTTTAAAGGGACAAAGTGTATTTTGTTTCATCCTGGCAAAGTAATAAACAATACCATTCACAAAAAAGGTAAATATCCATTCAAAAATGAAAGATTTAAACCAAAGCATGTTTAATATTCCATTATATGCCTACTTACAATTATCAGGCAGCATACATAGATACTAGAAGCCCAATCCTTTGAATGTGAAATTCTGTTACCACTTATCCTACCTATCTTGAATTTTACAGAAGTATATGAAAAGGAAGGTTTTCTTACAAATGAAGTTATGTAAATAAACAAGCATCTGACCTTTATTGTCTAGCATTATCTTGCTTCTAAACTCCAGTTATCCTGTAAGAATACTACACTGTCACGTCTAATTAGTTTTGCAAGGTAAAATGATAAATTTTCTTATAATTTAAAGTACTGAGTTCAAAGAAATCCTGGCATGTGCTTAAAGTATTCTGACACATTAATTCAGAAAAACTGAAGGAAGATATAGAATTACCTGTATATAATCACAGCACCAATCAGCAGCAGAATACTCAGTATGCTGAGAAGACCTCCAGTGATGTAACTGACATGTAGCCCTTCTCCTGAAAGAAGATAAACAGTCAGATTAAGGGTGATGCTATCATTCTACAACTATATATTTGAGGTAGTAAAAACCTGGGTGTCCTAGATCACGGGCGTCAATCTCGATCACGTCATGTGACGTATCACAATTTATCGTGAGTTTTTTTCCCCTTTGTGGACCTGGGGTGGGCATGGGCTGCATGTGACATATCCAGCCCATGGGCTGCCAGTTTGACACCCCTGTCCTAGACGGTTAAATATTTATTTACATTTTATTACCTATTATATTATGATGAACAGAACCAGATTAATATATGTATCTGAAATCATTAGGTGATCTGCAGGGGTTTCATTCAGTATTAGCATCTTAGTGCCCACTAAGATTTATTGAGCAATAGAAAAAAAGAAAAGTTGCAAAATAAAACAGCTGATGTGCAAGATAGTGAACTAAACACATTATTCTTTTGTCAACCTACATAATTTCATTCAGTGGCTCCAACTTAATTATAGCAATAGTTGATCATTACTATTGTTCTTGAATCCCTGAGAAGAAGTGAAGACAAACATGAAAAACTCACCTGCAGTTGCCAATATTGCTTCATTTGCTCGGTTGCACAAACCTTGACCAACTTTCTTGTCAGAGCAGCTATATAACAACAAGAAAAAGTAGATGCTGAACTTCAAATGAAGCCATCTTCCTATTAGAAACTGTGTTAAATTGAACCAAGATAAAGTAGAAAACTAGATAAAAAGAATAACCTTTATAGCCCAAAATTATTATTCCTGTTATTAGAAAAAAATATAGCACAATGAACTGTCACTATAAGGGAAGAAGAATGCAGTGCTACATCTGAATGGTTGGAATTAACGGATTAGCTATGATCCCTTAGCATCTGATAAAGAGGTATACAATTTATGATGTCCAAAATCTGGCAGTTTAAAAAAAATAGAGAGAGGAGCCTATTTAAAAAAGAGATTGGACCCTACATTTTCTCCTCAATCACTTTCAATAAACAGAACCACTCACTTTCCTTCTATTGTTTCCACAGAAATATGGGGCTTGGTTGTTGGAATTTTAAATCTGTCAGTAGAAGTCTGGCTCCTTTTGCTTACATGAGTTGTCTCAGGATTTGGAGGCCCCATGGTAGGAACTAGACAGAAGAGAAACAAAAATAACCTGAGACAAAGGAGACAATGAAGCCTGACCTTTTTATTTATGGAAAAATAAACTTTTTCATTATTCAAGATATAGCAGAAGCGTATAAGATTCGTCTTGTAATGCAATATGTAGTGTTGTACTGTGAGTACAAAAATGAGAAATAAGCACTTCTAGTTTGCCAGGCATCTGGAACTTGTGTAAATGCAATGGAAAGCATATATCAGAAGGGTCTTATTTTATCTACCAATGAATGATTCCTAAATTACATCTAATATTATGTGTAGGAAAATGTTTGAAGTCACTGCACACAAATTACTAGTGAAATATAACAAACTGTTCTGAATTGTACTGTATTCTAAGATTAAAGAATTGAAGAAGGTATATATGGAACATCTGAAAGATAGAAGAATCCTCTCAAGGAAAAAATACTTAACTTTTTTTAATAAAACAGTGCAACAAAAAAAAAAGATAAAATAGTACTCTCTTGTCCTTAGATATTTGAATGCTTTACCAAACAGGTACTTTATAGCTGTAGCTTATTTAAGGGAACGAAACCATTTTTCTCAAGCAGCTTTCTATAAAAGAAAACATGGGCTATGATTCATGCTGGGAGGTGTAGTATACAAACAACTTACCATTAAAACAAGGCCGTCCATCTGGTTCATCGGGACATGCACAAACAAAGTCAGAAGCCCTGGCAAAGCAGAGATGGGTACAGCCTCCATTATTCACTCCACAAATGTTTGTGCCTAGAAGATACAGACCAGATGTTTCACAAAATATATAGTTTTCTCCTCCCCAGCATAGAACTTCATGTTCCCTTACCCAAAATATATTAGGGTGTGGTGAGAAGTATCTCCTCTGACCAAAGTGCCAATATCTTAAATGAATATTCTCCTGACCAATACTTACCTACCGTAGATCACAGAATATGAAACACCATGCTTTCTCCAAGACCCAAAGGAATAAACACTTTAGAGCAAAAACCACACTGACATTTTAAACTTTTAAAAAGTCCAATGCTTGTCATGACGATATACAAAGTGTATGCAGGCCTCTATTTTGCTGGTTGCCTAGAAATATATGAATGTCTCTCTTTGAGCTCTGCAGATAGGTTTTTATTTTTTTAATCTCTACCTGGAGTCCTTTTAGCAGAGGCCAGGATGCTGAACAAGAAAAATAACTGGCAAGCTTGCGGCCTCATTTTCAAATGCAGCCATTTACTCTAAATCAGTGGTGAAATGTAAAATTTGTTACTACCAGTTCTGTGGGCGTGGCTTGGTGGGGGGGGGTGTAATGTGACTGGGTGGGCGTGGCCAACTTTTTTTCTTTTTAAACTTTTAAAAGCATTTTTTCTACAACCTCTTCGGCTAAAGAGGTTGTAAAAAAAATGCTTTTAAAAGGCTCTGATGATTCCAGCTGAGCCGCGCAATCATCAGAGGCTTTTTTTTTTTAACTTTTAAAAGCCTTTGTAGAAAAAATGCTTTTCAAAGTTAAAAAAAAAGCCTCTGATGATTGCGTGGCTCAGCTGGGCATGGGGGCGGGCAGGGATTTCTGCTACCAGTTCTCCGAACCACCCACCACCATCGCTACCGGATCAGGCGATCCGGTCCGAACCAGGAGCATTTCACTCCTGCTCTAAATCCTATTAAAATCAATAAGAGCAATTTGCTAATATGGGAGTTAAGAAAGGAAATGAATTGGAACATAACAGGAATAATACCAGGATTCAGAATGAGGAGTAGGTTTTTGCTTTGTTTTGCCAATCAAGACATGTATGCTGTACCTGAGGCTACTCCTTCAGCAAGCTTTGCTCTTCTGGGCTCACACAGTAGATAGCCATTCTCAGAAAAGGTTCATAAAGCATACCAGAAGTGGCGGTTGGGTGTAATCACTTGCTGCCATCCAGCTACCACTTCCTTAATGCTTTGGATCAAAATCTTGCACTTCTCAACATCTGACATGTGTTTTCCCTTGAGTGGGTTGGGGCATAAGCAACAAAGGAGGTGTAGGTTTTCTTACATACTTCTTGCCTAATTCATTATTTGTGCCAGCCTGAGTTTTGTTTAATCAATGTGGGCTAATAGTAGCTAACAGCCAGAGCTGAAAGGCAGCTGTGTTCCTATACTTTGTATGGTAAAGCCATTATCCCCAGCCTTTGTATCCTCTGAAGGGAATGCAGATAATTTCACAAGTATGATCCTAAATCCAAATAGCTTTCCATAATGATATGCTTTCAACTACTTTCTGCACCTGAATCCATATAAACGCAATAGAGACAATTCAGAATCGTTCATCAAGAGGGAAAACGAAAAGGAGATTCTCTGTATTTTGATTATTACAGCCCCCAAATTCTCCAACCACCTCTCATGGCCATGCCATATCAGTTGATGAGAGTTCTAATCCAACCATCTAGATTGCAGAAGACTGGTTTAGAGAATACATCACTTGTTAATCTGATACAATGAATTAATGAAGGAACACAGGTGATTGAATATACCTGTTTGCCTTTGAGGAGAAACCACAATAATATCCATAAGTCCTTCTACATTGGCTAACACAGTCTCCTTATTACGACCAGAGTATTTGTCCACACGCTGAATAGATTTCGTTTGCCAGTCTGTCCAATACAGCCACCTATCCTGCTGCTCAGAAAACAGACAAACACATGATTAAAATACTATATAATAAGCAGAGAGGAATTAAATGGGATTGTGTAAACTTAAAATGTGTTCTTTTCTATATTTTTTTCAACATATTATATTTTTCAGTAGTAATACCTGGTAACTACATTAACATAAATTATTTTATTTCCTCTCATTTTTTGCCACTGTATTAAAGTCTCTTCTGAAATTACTTTTGATTAATTAAATTAAAAGAAAAAGCTTTAATAAATTTTTAACATTGCTTGTCTCTTTTTAAATTTTATGTACAGTTTTTATGTTGATAATATTTTATTGTACACCGTCCAGAGTCTTTCTGTAAGGGAGATGGGCAGTTTTAAAAAAGTTATAAATAATTAAATAAAATAAATAAATAATTTATCATTGGGAGGTATTGAAATAAAAAGTTAAGCCTTGCAAGAATTTACCTCTTTACTGCTGCAATTCACCCTACAATATTGAAATGTTTTAAAGCCCAAAGAAAATTTTTCATTTTCTTACTTAATTTCTTCTATGTTGGTATACAATTTTTGTAAATATTGTGTTAATATTTTAGTAATAGGCATATCTAAATATTATAAAGTTTTATATACTACTGAATCCTCTAAAACTATGGAAATTTCCTTTTGAAGTTTTGGAAGAATATGAAAAATCAGATGTGATTTACAAAAATTAATCAATAATCCTGAAATCTGTTCAAATTTGTCAAAATTGTATTGTCTGCAAATATCTCCCATTTTCATCCCACAAATCTGATTATTGCGTCTGAGTGCTATTGCCAATGCTTCTAGGGCTAGCCTTAATTATTAAAAGTGATAAAGGACAACCCTGCTTGGTATATCTTAAAATCATAATAGGATCTGAATAATAGCTGTTCAGTCTTATCTGAACTTTAGTTGATCCATCAGTATGTTCAATCTTCTTACAAAAACTGGTACCAAATTTAAATTTCATTAATATTTGTTTTAAAAATTGGATTTCCGGAGAGTCAAAAGCCTTAAATACATCTAAGAAATCAATATTATTCCTTGACTCTTCTGTCATGAAGAAACTTGTTTCCAACCATCTGCACCTTAGCTGAACTGTACTACATTACCTATCTTTAAATGATTATAGCATCACTTAACAGGCTGATATACAGGAGAAAGAAAAAAGAGCCCTGTACAAACTTTGTCCACCGTGCCCAAAGTAAACAAACTATTGGCTTAGAAATTAAGTTTCATTTCAGCATTCACCACCCCACCTTCCTTTGTACCTGTGTCAAGGCAAAGGGATGTGACACTTGACTGATCAACACTTGGCGCAATTTCCCATTAAGATCAGCACTTTCTATGCGGTCTAGATGAGCATCTACCCAATAAATCCTAGAAGGAGAGAAAGAATGGAAGTTAAACTAATATCCACTCCTGAAACTTCCTTTCTCTCAGTTACAATTTCTGATTCAAAGGCAGCCCAGGGACCTGCCTTAAAAAAAAAAGGGAAGTTTTTTTTAAAAACCACAACAGTTTTGCTGTCAATAATTTTGAAATGCAAGGTTGTACTGACCTTCTGATGTCATAATCCAAAGTCAGTCCATTGGGCCAGCCTAAATCAGTATTGATCAATATCTTTCGTTCAGAACCATCCAGGTTTGCCCGCTCAATTTTAGCAATATGTCCCCAGTCAGTCCAGAAGAGATATCTGGAAGAAAATAAACCAAATGCAAAATGTTACATGTCAGTCAGCTCTAAAAGATGGCTTGTCCACCCAAGAAATCCATTTGCCTGATGTCTGAAGGCAGACCTCCATTTTAGCCAATCCTCATCCTTTTTTTCCCCTACTCATTCTATCCCTTCCTCCACCTGGCATCCTCCAAGTGTAACAGCTCCCTCCTGATAACATAACTACTGAAAACAGTAGCCCAAAATACCTTGAAGGCACCAGGTTGGGAAAGTTACTCTACACTTACCTTTTCAGCTGATGTATCAACAGAAGAGACTATTTGTACCTAATGCAATAAATTATTTAAATAAATATTTTTGCTAATGCTGACTTTTCAGTCACTTACCCTTTTCTAGGAAAGACAGCAATTGCCCGTGGTTCATCCAGACTGTTATTTATCAGCACTTTCCTGCAGCTGCCATCCAGTCTTGCAACTTCAATTGTGTTGCGGCCAGTGTCTGTCCAATATAGATTTCGAGCTACCCAGTCCACAGACAAACCATCTGTTCTCTTTAGTCCTTGGCCAATAATAGTTTCCATATTACTGCCATCTAGATCTGCTCGCCTGGAAGAAGATATCATAGAGAACATTCTATCTAAATATTTTTCCATAAGGCAGATCCCTTTGACAAAGAACAGTTTTGGGGGGGAAAAAGATATGATTATGCAGCTAATTAACATAAAATGAGGAATTTGGAAGATACCTACCTGATGACGTCTAATATGACATCTGTGTAGTAAACCTTGCCATCTACACTGTCATAATCCAAGGAGATAACATTGTTCAGCTCTGGGACAGGGACATAAACATCAATGTGATCACTAGTATCTAGTGAGATTCTCCTGATGGAGCCCCGGCTAGAGAAGAGCAGGTAGGTTTCAGGAGAAGGATCACAAGATCTTTCATCAATCTTCAGTTGAATTCCAGTAGGGCAAGCACATGAGAAGCCTTCAGGGTTTGGAAGACAGAGATCGGAGCAACCTCCATTTTTCATGCCACATTTGTTAGTACCTTAGGAAAAATGGATCATATCTGAGATTACCATCAAAAAGGCTAATATTAATTCTGTATAGCTTTCCTCAGACTGATGCCCTCCAGATATAATTGAGGTTTTGATTTCATAACTCTCAGGCAAACAAGGTCTATGTAATTGTGCTTGAACAGTAGGAATAAACAATGGAGTAAAATCTACAGAAAATGTCTGGAGTCCAGATAAGCATGCTGGTTGCTTTTTTTTTTAAATGCATGAATGATTTTTCAAGAATTAAAGCATGCCCATGAAAATTCATGAAGGAGAATTAAAGAAAATAAGAAAACTTACCAAGAGGTTTCCCTCTGTCAATGCCCTGGATGTCCATTAATCCTGGAAGATTTGTTCTCACCAAGATGACATTAGCACCAGTGTTCTTATCAGCTCGGTGAATGCTTCTTGTTTGCCAATCAGTCCAATATATGTAAGAATCTAATAAAGTTAGGCCATAAGGGTGCTGCACTGGGGAGAGCAGGGTGTGGCGGTTTGCACCATTCAGATCTGAAGCCTCAATACGCTGAAAAGAACAGAATGTTGGAATGTCAAGGAACTTCTGATTATGGGTTCAGAGGCCTCCAATAGGTAGCAACTCTTCCTATGATCCACAAAGCCAAGAATAGTGTAATCTAGATGCTTATTTCTAACATTCTGCTAAATGTATTTCAATTTCACCCAAGGATTCCATAAGACAAAAGAGAAAAGAGAGGTCTAACCCAGAAGAAATGAAGTTAGCAAAGCATATCTTGAGTCCCCAACTATGCTATGCAGTGAATCAACATTGATTGGCTGGATTTCCACAACATTCTGGACCAGGCTAAAATAGGAGTCTACCCAGTTGTCAGCATGTTGTGTTGATCAGTCCACCTTATGTATTTGGATCAGCAGGTTAACAGAACATAGGAAATATACTTTGCTATTCTAGGATTAGGATTTAATTTATTGTATGAATCTATACTAGCTATCAATAATGCTGTCATTTGGGTGCCTCAGCACGGCATAAACTTAAGAAAATCACCACTGATTTCAGTGCTCTATTTCCACTTTGAAAAGAAGACATCCATGCCTTGTGAGACAGATATGTGAGTGAACTCATCATCCTAAGTTTTTTTTCTCAGAGACAACGTACATATATAAAAGATTGGACCGAGTCACAGAAAGATTCCAAGCTACCATATCTAGATTCTAAAATCTGACTCTCTTTGCTTCTTATCTGTAACTCATCAGACAGCAATACAGGTAGTTCTCAATTTGTGATCATTCATTTAATGATAGTCCGGAATTATGATAGCCTCAGAAAGGATGCTTTACACCTCATAAACTGATACTCTCACAATCTGATTGCTTGGTAACCTGTTCACACATGACTGATTACTAAGCACACTGAAGGCACATGATTACCATTTGCAATCTTTTCTACCAGATTCCCCAGAAAGTCAATAGAGAAGCTGGCAGAAAATGTTGCAACCTGCTGCTGTCTGCCAAGAGGACTCCCTTGTGTCTCTGGAAGCTGACTGAAAGAAGCTGCATCCCAAGGAGAGGTTAATTTCTTCAGCGGGGTGCAGAAACAACTGGAATCCTGAAGATGTTGGCTCTGTTCTTGCACTCTGCCAAAGGAGTTCCCCTTCCTTACATGGAGGGAACTGAACTCATTTGGTTCTGAAGGATTTTGGCTCTGTTTCTAAACCCCAATGAAGGAGTTCCTTCCATGTGCAGAGGGGAGCTGAACTCCTTTGGCAGGCAGCTTTTATAACCAGCCCCAGAGACAAGGGAGCCAAAATCCAACCAGAGATTAAATAGCCAGTGTGGTAAGATAAGGAGCAGATGGTGGGGATGCCCTGGGAGACATGGCATAAGTCATGCCATGTCTCTTCACTCAGAGCTGAAAATCCTGCTTAGATTATGGCGGGGGGATTTTTAGCTCCTGAAGGGAGCCTCCCAGGTCTCCCGTACCACCTGAAGCATCGCCCTTACCTAGGACTCTATGTGCCTAACAACCTGCATAATCACTTAACAACCACAACTGGATTGTGGTCATTGAGCAAAGCAGATGTCACATGACATCTCATTAAACTACCACTTCGCTCAACGATCAAAGTTCTGATCCCAATTGTGGTCATAAGTCAAGGACTACCTCTATACCAATATATTCAAGTGAAACAGAAGTTGAGACAATGTCAACCAATATGAAGTTTAACCAATAACGTTTGATTGGTTATGGGTGTCTTAGACATGCAAATCATTGAATGGTGTTAGAATCCCAGAGTGATGAACACGCATATATGTACATATTTACTCTTAATACCTAAGATCTCATACTCATCCTCACATTCCATTCTTCACTCTGAGGCCACTTTCTACACCAAACATTTAAAATTATAGACTGCCCCTCATGTCATTCTAACCTCAGTATGTGCATCAGCCCAAAATAGTTGTGATCCAGCTTTATCCACAGCCAGACCATTAGGCCATCCCAGGTTGTTGCTAATAAGCACCATGCGGTTAGAGCCATCCATCCCTGCTCGTTCCAGTTTAGCATTTTCACCCCAGTCTGTCCAATACATATACCTAAAGGAAAAGAAGGGGCAAATAAACTATCCATTGAAAAGTCAACATATTACTTATTGTCATGTTCTCTTCTCCTCTACAGACTTTCCTTTGAAAACAAGATAATCCATTGTTAGCACTCACCCCATTTCATGATATAATGCAATTGCTCGTGGGCTGTCCAGATTTTCCCATATCAAAACTTTTCTCATTGTCCCATCCAGGTTAGCTACTTCAATTCTGTTTGTTCCCGTATCAGTCCAATACACTTTGCGGCCAATAGCATCCACAGCTAATCCATCTGTGGTTTGCAACCCTACATCAAAAGAAATATATGATTGTTATAGTGTCAGTAACATATACCAGGAGTCTGCAACCTAAAACACTCAAAGAGCCATTTGGACCCATTTCCCACAGAAAAGAAAACACCGGGAGCCACAAAAACCTTCCGATGCATGACTATTTCTTGAGCAGCCACAAAACTAGCTTATGTAGTTGAATTAAACATTCTGTTTTCTTCTGAAACTTTTATTTTCTTGGATTTATCCATGGTTGGCCTACTGTGGGTTGAAAAGCTCAATAAATTGCATGCCGGCGGGTATTGCACATATTTTGAGTGTCGGAGCCGCAGCAGAGGGGTGAAAGAGTCACATGTGGGTCCAGAGCCGCAGGTTGCTGACCCCTGATATATACTATTCTGTCTCCTCAAAATATCCACTGGATGTTTGAGGCAATCTTTATATTAGAACTTTAGAAGTTGCATTAGGTGAAGACAGGGGTGAAATGTAAAATTTGTTACTACCGGTTCTGTGGGTGTGGCTTGGTGGCGGGGGGGTGTAATGTGACTAAGTGGGCATGGCCAACTTTTTAAAAAAAAAAACTTTTCAAAGCATTTTTTCTAATGCTTTGAAAAGCTTCTCTGCCAATCAGGCAACTCAGCTGGGATCGTCAGAGACTTTTCAAAGCATTTTTTTAACCACCTCTTTGGCCAAGAGGTTGGAGAAAAAAATGCTTTGAAAATCCTCTGACGATTACAGCTGAGTCGCGCGATCATCAGAGGCTTTTTATTTTTAAAAGCATTTTTTTTTGTCGGAAGAGGTTGAAGAAAAAATGCTTTTAAAAGTAAAAAAAAAAGCCTCTGATGATCGTGCGGCTCAGCTGGGCATGGTGGGCAGGGGGGCGCGCAGGGATTTTTGCTACCGGTTCTCCGAACTTCCCGCTGCCATCGCTACCAGATCGGGCGATCCGGTCCGAACCGGAAGTATTTCACCCCTGGGTGAAGATAATGCCAAAAAAAAAAAGTTCAGTTCATTGAAAAGAATACATATCTTTGAAAGAGCCTGGAGCAGATGTTCAATATTTACCAAACCAACTATTTATTACCTGTAGTAATAATATCTTCATACTGGGATCCATCCAGTGAAGCTCTGCTGATCTTCCTCAGTGTGCTGTCTGACCAATAAACCTTTCCTGTTGAGAAAACATAAGAACATTACTTTCATTTATTGAAATTAAATTCCCTGATTAGTCCATAAATATGTAAGATTATTTTGGTGAAAAACAACACTGTAAAGTGTGTCTTCAGGTGCTTTTATGTCTTCAATCTATTATTTATTCTTTTATTGCTAGATAAATAATTTCCAAAGATGGAGGAAAGTAAGGAAGAAAGTATGTATCTCTATATCCTTCTGTCAAGAAAAGCAAAAGCAGCAGCAAATTATTTATGAATGTACCATGTAGTGTTTAATGAAGACATACTCCATCACTATAACACACACACACACATATACACATACCTACATACACACTCATACATGTTTTTATCAGTTTTAAGATTTGTGGACTTCAATTCTTAGAATACCACAGCAACATGTTCTGAGGTGAAATCCACACATCTTAAAAGTTTCCAAGGTTGAAAAACACTACACTTCCCCAGGGCAGAACCTATGTGGAATACAATTGTCTTGAAAATTATTTTGGGGGAAAACTGCTTTTTGAATATGAATAAGAGCATTAAAACAGGGATTTTTTTCAGCTACCCTTAAAATCAGCTTTCTTCAATCTGGTGCCTTGATATATTGGTGCCTTGATATATTGGGACTACAGCTTCCAAAAATTTTCAGCCAACATGGCCTATAGGAATTCTGGAGTTACATTTGAAGGTATTTGGAGCCATATTAGTTTGGGAAAAGTTGCTTTAATAAGACTTGGACATTAAAAAAACAGCTGCTTTTACAATGAGTTCATGAACATAGGGGAATGTATTGTTTAATATGAATCACACCATTTAATGGGCAGGTTGCCTGTCATTTACTGGTAAATTTACTCTATCCTGAACAATTCCACAACTCAAATGGTTAAATTACATATTGCCAACCTTCTTCAGGATCAACTCCAATGGCAATGGTGTTTTTCATAGTGACGTTGACTGAGACAACTACATCAGCAAAATATGGAATATCAAGTGAAACCAGACGAATATCCGACCTTCTTGCAAAGATTAGGAAGGTAGTCATTCCTGCAAAGTTGAAAATGGAGTTCAATGCATAATTACAGGAATTCCTTTTCTCAAATGTCCCTTCTTACTGCAACAAAAATTTCAGCTGGCAAAGGTGATCTTGGCAATGAATAAAGACACCAATTTATCCAAGACCATAAAAGTAGGGCCATAAATGTGATGAAAGATCATAAGAAATACTGAATGTGGTTTTTCAACTATGTAATAATTATTTTTAAGCATATGCTTAAAAAAAAATGTTGTTAAATATAAGTTATCAATAGTACCTTACTACAATGTATATGCAAGTCAAATAAAATATATTGTGATAATCAGAATCACTACAAGTAAGTCCAGTATCTAAAAAAAATATTTATGTCTTCTGATTATTCATACTGTATATTAAACCAATACAAGAATTATGTATTTATCATATTCAACAGATGATACATTACTGGTTTCCAACAAATCCTAGTGACATTCTCAACTGTAAACTGATATATGTTTACAGTTTAAATTAATGTTATTAAAATTAGTAAAACAAAATATTGCATAATATTGAAAAACAGCAAGGATTCCAGAAATACAACTACTCCACTTTACCAAGATATCTGTTAATGCATTTATGTCTGATACTACAAAGCATAATGCTTCCTCAAATTCTATCTCCTTTAGTAAGTGATCAGACCTAATTTATATAGGAACACGTTTTATGTAGACATTTCATCATCAAAGCTATTCCTAGTTTTGGCTGAAAAGTAATAATAGCTACTGCAACACACATAAAATTCTACCTGAAGTAGAACAGGTATTTTCGTAAGTAAAATACTTCCTGTAATTTGAGTATATAACTTTTCTAGGGTCGGAATGTGGGGTTTAGGAGACCTTACTCTCTTCCAGGGACTAATAGAACCACATAAGATAAGAGACCCACCAGATAAACATGTTCTGCCATCTGATTGTAGGTTGATGCCAGTAGGGCAAGAACAGCTGTAGCCTTTAGGAAGTGGAGCCAAGAGACAAAGATGACTGCATCCACCATTATTAATGTGGCATGGTGTATGCACTGAAAGAGACAATAGTGAAACTAGGTATCAAAAAAAAAGCGATTAGGAATAATTGTGATGCTTCAGAGTTCCAAATCTTTCAGCAAAATCCCCAGCTCATCAAAAGTCTATGCCAATTTATAGTTTTTAATCTAACAAAGGTAGAATGATAATACTTAGAAATATGTGTCTTAGACTAACAGAGTTGGAAGGGACCTTGGAGGTCTTTCTAATCAAACCTCCTGCTTAGGCAGGAAACCCTATACCTGTGATGGCGAACCTGTGACACACGTGCCACAGGTGGCACACAGAGCCATATCAGTAGGCATGTGAGCCCAGACCGGAAGTTGACAAACGAGCCATTTCCGGCCTCCAGAGGGCCTCCAGGGGTAGGTGAGGAAGGCCATTTTCATCCTTCCCAGGCTCCTAGAGAGGCTCTGGAGCGTGGGGAGAGCAAAAAATAGGCCTACCAGGCCCACCGTGCCATCATGTGCCAAAAGTGGGGCGAGTGTGGGGGGTGGTGGTGTCATGCGCTCATGCGCGGGGAAGGGGTGCATATAATTATGGGTGTGGGCACGCATGTGCATGACCCCCCATGCTCCCCCCGCTTTTGGCTCACAATGGCAAAAAGGGTAGCCATCACTGCCCTATACCATTTCAGACAAATGGTTATCCAATCTCTTCCATTAACTGAATTAAATTAATGTAATTACTGCTCTAATCTAGTTTAATGTGTAAACAAAATAAAATCTAGTATGGTTCCAGCTGCTTTTACATGTGATCCTGTCTATTTTTTTTTTAAAAAAATAACATTACAGGTAGTCCTTGATTTACGACCACTCATTTAGCAGACATTCGAAGCTATGATTGCATTGAAAAAGAGTAACTTACAACCAGTCCTTGCATTTATGGCATCCCTACAGTCATGTGATTTGGGCACTTGGCATCCTTTGAGCATTTACAGCAATTGCCGTGTCCTGCAGTCACATAACTGCCATTTGCAACCTTTCCAACCAGCTTCTGACAAGTAAAATCAATGGGAAAGTTGGCGGAGTCGCATTCAAGTGATATCTCACTTAATGCAGTGATTTGCTTAAAGACCACAGCAAAAAAAGATTGTAAAATTGGCTGTAGTCACATAATGCCTCACTTATGACCACACCATTTAACAACTAGTTTTCCAGTCCTAGTTGTGGTCATAAGTTAAGGGCTACCTATAGAATAAAAAAAAGGGGGGACTTGATGGGTATCCATGGGTACCATCTAGATGTACCGTAAACATTATGTACCTGTATATCAGAGTATAATAAAAAACTTGAAACTCTTTCTATCTATAGCCCAAAGACGTGTAACTTCTTATCTTGATGCAGAAGACCTCCATACCTGCAGGTCTCTGCCGATGAAAAACATGGATGTCCATAAGGTTTTCTAGGTTGTCCTGTAGAGTGTCACGATCCAGCCCTGTCCTTTTGTCAGCACTCTGGATGCTTTTCGTCTGCCAGTCTGTCCAGAAGATCCGAGTGCCGTACAGAGTGAGTCCAAATGGGTGAGGCAAATTGCTCCCAATCAATATCTGTCAATCCCAAAAGCAAATCAACTAACTGCCAGGAAAACAGCAGTTTTTTTTTAAAAAAAAAAACAGCAATGCACAGCTATCTTAGAAGCAGCGCTAGACTATACAACAGTGGTGGGTTTCAAATTTTTTTACTACCGGTTCTGTGGGTGTGGCTTGGTGGGCGTGGCTTGATGGATGTGGCAGGGGAAGGATACTGTAAAATCTCCATTCCCACCCCACTCCAGGGGAAGGTTACTGCAAAATCCCCATTTCTTCCTGATCAGCTGGGACTCGGGAGGCAGAGAACAGATGGGGGTGGGGCCAGTCAGAGGTGGTATTTACCGGTTCTCTGAACTACTCAAAATTTCTGCTACCAGTTCTCCAGAACTGGTCAGAACCTGCTGAAACCCATCTCTGCTATACAATCTGTAGAATCTAATCTGGGTCGGTCATCAGGACCAGAGATTTAGCCTTCTGAGCTTTCGGGCTCATGTTGGAGCCCATCCTCAGGAAACTTCAGAAGACTAAACCTCTGGTCCTGGTGACCCACCCAGATTGGATCCTGGGATACATATATGTGCTTTCATGTTTGACAAACTGTAGAGCAACTTTTCCCAACCTGATCCCTTTCAAATGTGCTGGACCTTTAGGGACCTGGCTGAGAATTATTATGGCACCAGGGGAAGTCTAAGCCTGTTTCAACAATGCAGCACAGTTTCCCATACATTTCACTGTCTTAGTCTTTGCTCAAAAGTTATTCATTTTGTCCCTTTAGAGGAGCAACTGAACTCCTCTGAAGATCAGAATGGGGCATGTTGGATCAAAGAGAATACATGTATGTTTTCGGTAAACAAACATTGTATATCTCCTATTTACCCTTTCCCAGAAGTCAATTCAACTTGGCTATTTTACCTTTCTATCACAGCCATCCAGGCCAGCATACTCAATTGTCTTCATGCCAGCATCTGCCCAGTATAGGCGCTGAGACTCATAGTCAATAGCCAGTCCATTGGGCCAGGTCAGGTTGGAAGAGATGATCACCAACCGATCAGAGGCATCCATTCCCGCACGCTCAATCTTTGGGTTAGCTCCCCAGTCAGTCCAGTACATGAACCTGCATACAAATACCCAAAATGGTGTGTAACTGCTATACCGTATTAATCTGACAATTTTTATTTAACTGCATTACGAAAAACAGAACAGAAAGGAAAACTCTAAACAATGAAGGCTCTCCACTTTTGCAGTGGCTATTTAGGTATTTGCTTAAATTTGCCAAATATGCCAGCATCTTTTCATATGGCGTTTAATTATAAACTACAGTAGCTCCAGCCAAGTTAGCCAAAAGTAAGGAATGCAAAGAGTTGTAATTTACAATATCTTACACGTTAGTCGCTACTTTTCTGCAGATAACTTTAATATGGTCATCCTCCTTATTCTTTATGACATATTAATGTTTGTTTGTAAGAGTTAACTCATAAGCAGGCAGATCCATACCCTTCAAAATATTTTCATTCATCCTTATTAGCTGTAGCTATCATGACCAATGACCAGGTTTGGTGCAAAATTCAACACTGGATTGTCTATTATTTATTCTCAACACTAGAGAATACTACATTGTCTCTCCCTGAATTAATCTTTTAAGGATATTGGGCATACAGGATATTGGGGCTGGGTCTTTGTTTTATGAAGACTATAAGTATCAGCACATAAGAATGAACACTACAGACTTTTAAAAATTATATATAAAATTATAATTAGAAGCAAACTTTCAGGGATATCACTGTCATGAAGAATCAAAATGAGGGGGAAGCAATATGGGTAGAGGATAACAGCCAGAATATTTTTAAATTTAATTAAGGAAATTGTAATAATGAAATATTTTAAATTGTATATCGTGGTAAAAGTAGAAATGATTAAGATGTGGTTCGGAGGAACATATGGGGAAAATTATTTGATGTATGAAAATGGAACTAATTGGAATAGCCACGTTTATATTCTTTTTTTTCTTTTTTTTCTTGTTTGAATATATAAATGGAAAAGATATTTACATAAGTAATTGATTATATTAAAATGTTGGACTGTATTACTTAAGAAAATGTATGTTATAAAACAAGTGGGTTCACTATTCCTATAAGAATTGAACAACTGTATCATCACAAAATAAATTACTCTGATGATGGATACAAAAACAGATGACAATGAGAAGGGGTTTAATATAGAATAGAAGGGAAAATTGGAATTTGGTTAAAATTAGAGATGAAAATGAAGGGTAATATTGGTAAAAAAAATAGATGAAAATAAATACTATGGCAAAAAGGAGGTATAGAAATTGTAATTTTAGTTGTAAGGATCAAAAACTGTTTAAATTTGTTAACCGGCCAAATACCCTGTTCAGCAAAAATACATTGTATGTTTGTGTGTGCGTATGTGTAAAAAATAAAGAAAAACTTTTTACAAAAAAAAAGAAAGAATCAAAATGTAATGACATACAGGAATTGCATCAAAGCAGTTTTAAGAGAAAAGTTCTCACCTTCCAACAGGGTCTACCACAATATCTCTTGGTCTGTCTAGGTTTTCCCATATTAGAACAGTCCTCATGTTTCCATCTATGTTAGAGACCTCTATCCGGTCTGTTCCTGCATTTGATAGAAAAGGGAAAGAAAAAGACAACCAGCCCTCAGAAGCAGGAAAAAAAATCATAAAAGAAAATAATCCATACCGAAATTTCATTCACACACCATGGCAAAGAAAACCAACAGGGTCTATCAGCAAAATGACTTCCTCAGCAGGCCTACAAAGTATCCTTAGTCTAGAATAATAACTCCTGACCTCTACAAACTTCTCAATTAATTTGATCATCATATCTAGTCATCCTTACTCAGAAACTATTGGTTCTATTAAAGCAAGTAAAACACAGGATAATTTTACCAAAACCTTTCCGTTACTACAGGTTTGAGTGCTGTTCCGTGTTCTTTTTATCCATAAGAAAAACACATTTATTCAGCTAGGCCGAAAATTCTGTCTACTGGAATATTTCAATTTGGAAATTCAAAAACGCCATTTGAATTACTTCGTAATTTCAGTGTTACAATACAAAGCAAACTTTCACATTTGCATCTCCCTATAATATTGACAAACCAAGTACATCAGTATAAGATTAAAATGTGTAACTGAAACATTTCAAATAAAGTGGAATGCAGAGACATTTCTGCAGGAATAAATTGATATGCTAGATATTTTCCTATTTCAGAACACTCTTTTTTTAAATTACATGAAATGAGTTCTTACTCCCAGAATTTGTTTGCAACCTGTCCACTGTTTACAGGAAGGTGAAATGTTATTAAAGTCATCATGATCACAGAGTTTGAAAGAGTCTCATTCATACATCTCAATAGATGCATTGGGAATAATCCTGCTAAGAATTTGGAAGGCAATTTTTCAGTGAGTGGTTAGGTTTTAGAGTAGCCAATGAACTCTTTTGCCAATATGGCAGTGGCTTTCAGTACCTGCATCTGTCCAATACAACTTGTTTGTGACCCAGTCAACAGCAAGACCAGCTGGGCTTTCAAGACTGCTCTCCACCACAATCTAGCAACAAAACAAACACAAAGAAACTTTGAGGGCAATATTGCTCTAACCAGAAGCACTGACCTTTCTTGGACTATGAATGTTCAGTTGTTTAAATAGAGATCTGGAATTAATCCAGTTTAAGACATATGCATGGAATATGTTCCTCAAATAGTTGAAAAAAATAGAATTTAAAGATTAGTTATAATGAGCCAAAATGGGTGTAACGAAACAAACACCAAGAAGACAAGCAACTTATATGTTTCCACTGAGCTTTTGTAGGATATTACCTCCTGGCCTGTTCCATTCCATTTTGCCCGACTAATGGAATCAGTGCTAACATCTGTCCAGTAGACATAGTCACCCTGTGCATCCCAGTCCAGAGCCACAGCACTGCGCACATCTGCCAAGGGGATGACAACATCAGACAGGTCTTCTGTGTCGAAGCTGATACGACGGATGTCCATCCTTCGGGCAAAAAGCAGGAACTTGTCAAGACCTGATCAAAGGTCGAAAGGTCTTCTTTTAATATCTCTAACAGAAAATTATGGTAACAAACACAAAAAGGTGATCTTGGCACAATGAAGTTCTATTATATCCATGCTTTCTATATGGATATAAAAGTCCAATCTATAATGTAGGCCAGGCGTGAACTAGTACTAGCACTAGCCCTTAGATTTATATTCCACTTCACGGTGCTTTACAGCACTCTCTAAGTAGCTTACAGAGTTAGCATATTGCTCCCAACAATCTGGGTCCTCACTTTACCAACCTCGGAAGGATGGAAGGCTGAGTCAACCTTGAGCTGGTTAGGATAGAAAGAATAGATTCTAACCAGCTGGCAGTGAGACCAGAGTTAGCCTGCAAAAGTGCATTCTAACCACTGTGCCACCATGGCTCTTAACTAACTAGCAAATAAGTACAAAGCAAAAGAAAGTGAGTATATAATGTTGAAAAAGGGATTTTAGGATTAGAAGAAAAAAGAACATGTTCTTAAGTAAAATGTCCCTGTATGTAAGGACATGACAAGGTGCATTAATTGGTGGTTCCATTATTCTAAATATTAGGAAGAAGAATATGAACTTGTTTGCTCAGGATCCATCAGTGCTACTGCTAGCATTAGTTAGTCAGATGCCTTTAGAAAGCCCAGAAAGAAAAAATGAATCAAAAACTGCCCTTCATTAGCAAGTCTAACAATTAATTTTCTTCTGCCTCTGCCCCCATAGGTTCAATGTAATTTTTATAGCATTAAGGGCTGCCAAACCAATTTTCCATTAATAAACTAACTTTAAAAATTGGTCGAGCCACAATCAGTCACTGCATCTAGAAGCAAACTATTCTACAAACTATGCATTGTGTGAACTGACAAATTATTTCATTGAGTGACTTGCAGTTCTAATCTTATCTCTATCCAGCTTCTCTCTACCATTACATTCTCAGCATTTTATAAACTTCCATAATCTTCCTACCCCAGCAGTCTTTTTAGTTGTTTGAGATATTTATACTGTATTTTCCAATTAAGAAAGAAACTGTTATTAAGCTAAGAAATATACGTTATTATTTCCCCAAGGCAAGAATTCCATCTTTCCTTGCAGAGAAGATACCTCAAATCCTTCATCATACCACTGGTGCTTTTCTGCAGCTGAACTTTTTGATTTGTTTGTTTTGTTTATAAAATTGGAAAAAAATTATTCTATATTTTATATGGAAATTTGGAAAAACAGCAACAAGAAATCCAAATGTCATCCTGCCATCAATTTCATAAACATGTTGTAATATTGGCAATCTATTGTGAACGACCCCTTCACATGAAATTTACTGTATCATTTAAATGTAATTTTGTTAAAACTCTTTACTCTCTCTCATGTATGTAAACACAGACATGTTATGAAGGTACATAAACTCCTTATCACACTTACTCTGGGCACAAGTATGGCCACTAGTCTTCCGAAAACCTGTGGGACATGCGCAGGTATAGCCCTTGTTATTTGGCAAACAGAGATGAGTACAGCCACCATTATTGGTTCCACAGCGATTTCTCCCTGCTCAAATAGCCAAACAGAGATATTTTATATATACATAGGTATACAAACACACACACATAAACACAAATACTATAATCTATACAGGGAAAAGAACCAGCAATACAATGAAGCTGGTTCTATTTTGGAACTGCTTCATTTATTGTGCATTTGTATCTGTCTGGTGTAGTTCTAAAATAGAAATATTCACCACTGACTTATAAAGGATATAGCCATATACTTTTCATACTTTGAAATTATTTTCGTGATAAAGCAAGGAAACATGTTGATAAGCCACTAGTAATGGTATTAGTCGAATGGTAATTTTTATTAAATTGTAGACTTTAATACTACCAGGATAGTAAAGCATGAATAAAATTAATGAAGATATTTATTGCAATTCAATGTTTTTTCACAATAGCAGAGACAACTTAATTAGGAAATTTTTTTCCAGGTACACAGAAATATGCCAACAATAGTAATATACAAACAATAGTAATATAACAACAACAATAATGAAAGATTATCATATTATACTATCATTTATGAATGTATGTGGGGAGCTGCTTGGCCATTGCGTCTAAGAAAACATTATAGCTATTCACTTTTACCTGGGATTATGTCTTTGGAAACACTTCATGTTTTCTGAATGTACATCACTGATCAAACAATTCAATTTGAATCACTAAGACAATTTTTATATTCTACAAAGAGTGTTAGATTGAGGAAGTATTTGCAACCCGTTGCGCCCACGTGACACCCCTCCTGCGCGAGCTGCACTGGCTCTCAGTGGTCTTCCGGGTGCGATTCAAGGTGTTGGTCACCACCTTTAAAGCGCTCCATGGCACAGGACCCGGGTACCTTCGAGACCGTCTTCTGCCACCAATAGCCTCCCACCGGCCAGTCCACTCCCACAGAGAGGGTCTCCTCAGGGTGCCATCGGCCAAGTCATGTCGGCTGGCGACACCCAGGGGGAGGGCCTTCTCTGTGGGAGCCCCAGCCCTGTGGAATGAACTGTCCCCGGAAATTCGTAAGATTTTTGACCTCCGGGTATTTCGCTGCGCACTCAAGACCCTGTTGTTCCGCCAGGCTGGGTTAGCAACATAATTTTAAATTGGATGTTTTAAATTTTTGGGGTTTTAAATTAAGCCAAATTTATTTAATATTTTTAAATTATTTTAAATTGATGTTTATTCTGTTTTTAAATAGGCTGTACACCGCCCTGAGTCCTTCAGGAGAAGGGCGGTATAGAAATAAAATTATTATTATTATTATTATTATTATTATTATTATTATTATTATTATTGTCAGTATCTTGTGATAAAACACTTGTCTTTTAGCAATAATATCTTGCCTTTTCTCTCTGCAGTTACCTGCTGGTTGGCGTTGAGGATGCAAAGTATGGATATCCATGGGGAAATGAAGCTTGTTACGGATGATCTCTTGATTTTTTCCAGTAAATTTGTTGGCACTGTTTATACTCTTGGTATGCCAATCTGTCCAGTACAGGCTATCTTCAAATACAGTGATAGCAAATGGATGTGGAAGGCCTGCAGCAAGAATCCAGTAAAAGCAGATGAAAAGGTTATGGCCACTCTTTACTAAAGGTTGCTTCCATCTCTGAGACAACAAAGGTCTCTTTCTTTTAATAATACCTCCAAAACTAAGCAAACCTGTTACTGGTTTCTGCTGACTTAGCACTGTATATTGCCAGTTTTCCTGGAGATAAAGACTAATGTCACAGTGCTAGTGCTACTCATATTGTATGTCCCAGCCATTGAGATTTTATAACTTGTTTATGAATTGGTAGATACCAACCATCAGATATAGTTTTAAGAGTACTGCTGGCATTAGCATGGTGAAAAATCAGATATGGGACAAAAGCAAATGACTGATGATCTCAAACTCCTGGCATCAATGATCTGATTTGCCACACAGTATTATCTGAGTTACTCAGAGCATCCCTTAGTTGCTTATCTAGTAGACAACAATCCCAATTTCCTTATCTCACCTTGACTAATAACAGCCTTCCTGTTCTTTCCATCCAAATCAGCCCTCTCAATAACATGATGCTTGGCATCTACCCAGTACATCCGATGCCCTGCATAGTCAATAGTTAGCCCATTTGGCCAAAAGAGATGAGTGTCAGCAATAATGCGCCGATTGGAGCCATCCATGTTAGAGTATTCAATGCGAGGAGTGTTTCCCCAATCTGTCCAGTAGATGGTACTATTGGAAAAGAGAAAAAAATGTGAACAGTGGAAGTTCCTTGAAAGGACAACAGACATTGCTAACCAAAACAGGCGCTAGTTTAGCGATCTAAAGCTAAAGACATAATACTACAACTGATTGTATTGAGCTGATGAAAGCAAACAAGGATAACCGTTTCAGGCTATGATTATACAAGATCACAATCTTTGTCAATAAACTATTAACCAAAATCTTTTGGCTTCACAAATGAGCATCTACAATGGCTTTCTTCAAACTTGAGTATAGTCCAGATGAACAAAATTAATTTTCCAGAATTTTAGCTAGCATGGTAATTGCTCAGAATTCTAGGAGTTACTTCACACAACTGGAGGGTAATACATTTGAAGAAGACTGATCTATCCTAACATAGCTTACATTACAGAACACAGGAGAACGTGTTCTTTTAATAAGGCTATCAAAAGAGTACATTAAGTTCCAGTAAATAAAATTATGTTATAGGATATTCCAAGTTGAGCGTGTAGAGAAGCTGATTTTTACAGATTCCTTCTTCTATCTGCAGATCTTCTAAAATATGGGGGATAAGGTGTTATCGGGCTCCACAAGCAAAAAATAATAAAGTAACACATTTGTAAAAAAATCACCAACTCCCTTTTTCCCCTCTAGGGGAAGTTGTCATTAGTTTTCATGGCATTTTACATATGGAAGGTCTTAATTCATTTGTAGAATGACAAATCTAGATTTGGCTCCAGGCGGCTAAAGTGGAGTCTTCACTCAGCAAATTTCATCTGATAAATTAAGATAACAAGCAGTGAGTCGCTCATACTCACCCTTCCATAGGGTGAAGAGCAATTGCACGAGGTTTTTCTAGATTCTTCCAAAGAAGCACCTTCCGATGCATTCCATCCAAATTTGCCACTTCAATGCGAGATGTCCCAGAGTCTGTCCAGTATAACTTGTCATGGATCCAGTCAATGGCTAGCCCACCTAAGACCCAGAGGAAGGAAGAGTGTGATAGGTAATGGTTGTTCAAGAATAGTCCCATTGAGCCATGGCTAAGGCTGTCCTGATATATAAAAGGAAAATGGAAACAAGGCTCTTTTTCCTCTTGTCCTATAAATCACTAAAATATTTAGGTAACTATTTGAATTGTCCATTATAAATTGAAATGTACACACACATACACACGACCATAAGTCACACTTGAGTTTTAATGGCATGGTGGTGCACTCCAAAATCCAAGTGGAGGTTGGAGAAAGTAACATAGGCCTGATTTACATTTAAATTTAATTGAAAAGCAAGTTAAATACAATTCGTTTTATTTTATCCTATGCTTCTAATAATGTTCTTCTTCTTCCCCAGTAAAACATATGATTGGTAGTTACTGTGAGGGAGCTCTGAGAGGTACAGCAAGGTTTTAAGGGTTATATTCTATTCTGGAGACTCAGATTATGCAATTTTAGAGTTGCTTCTGTGAAGATAGGCAACATACAGTAGTGGCCAAAATTGTGGAAACCTTTTGGGAAAAGTGTCTTTTCTAAAACTAACTGATAACACTTTTTTGGGAGGAGTAGTACCATAAAATTATATATCAATGGAAAGATAATTTAATCAAGAATGTAATGCAATAACTTTTATGAAGGATTTGCTATTAGAAGAGCAGTTATAAAGAAGAAAAGTGAAACACGTAGAAAAAAACGAGATATACAAAAATTATCACCATGTCAGTTAATACTTAGTTGGGTAACCTTTAGCATGAATTACGGGTTTACAACGTCTTCCCATGGAGTGAACCAAGTCTTTTAGTTCTGCAGCTGTTCTAATGTGAAACCAAGATTGAATGATTGCTTTTATTAGCTGGGTTTTATTGCTGGGTCACTTCTGACTAACAAGTTTCTTTAATTGGCTCCATAGATTTTCATTTGGGTTACGGTCTGGACTATTCCCAGGCCATTCCAGCAGTGGAATATTATCTTGAAACTCCAAAAAAAAGTGGTGTTATTAGTCATCAAGCCTTAAAAATACACTTTCCCCAAAAGGTTTCTACAATTTTGGCCACTACTGTACAAGTTTGATAGATAAATATAAACAAAGAAATAAATTTTGCTACATACAGAGCTGCCATTTTTACTTCTGAAACCACGAAAGATATTTACCTGGACTCTCCAATCCTGTAGACACCACTTCTTCCACGTTGCTACCATTCAAATTGGCCCTCATAATGCGGTCCAGTGTGACATCAGACCAGAATACTAATTCCTTGCTATGGTGGAAATCCAGTGCAATAGCATTTTCAAGGTTGTTTAGAAGCAAAGTGTACTCCGAGCGGTGGGGTAAGACCTGCCGGATATCAATCCGATTGGCAAAAAGCAGCACAGGTTCTGGCCCTGAAGGATACATGCAAAGAGATGTGAGAAGACCATTGTCTGGACAACAGTGAGATTATAATGACAGCACAGAATCAGGACGTAAATAGAAAAAGAACATAGAAACATTATATGTAGGCATATTTACATTGTTTAGAATTATACTGATAAACTGCAGCTCCCTCCGCTGTATTTTCTTTGGCTATTCGGCAGTTTGTTAGAAATGTGGGAACCAGCATTCATGAAAAGCGATTACTCAATAAGTGGATTCTCTGCATGGATCATATCATCCTCAGCCTTTTTTTTTTTTTTTTTTTTTGCTGATGTCTTGAATCTGTAGTTCCTATCCTGGGACTTAGTCTTTTCCTGGGACCTGTACAAGTTACATTTCTATCTGTTTCTTTGTGAAATTTATACACTACCTTAGTCCTGTTGACCCTAGGAGATTTACAGTAAAATATAGCCATAATAGTAACAATAATAACAGAAAACAATATAACAATAAAATATATAATTTATTCCTCCCAGAATCAATCCTGAAAAGCTGCCCACAAGAACAAACTTTTCTAATTTTTTTGGAAAGCCATAACCTGGCTTCTAAAAAAATCAGGTAATTCCATATCAGAGGTGTATAAAAAGCTGGGTCATAGAATATTTCTGTTCATGATTAGATCTCTTCTAGAATATCCAGAAAGAACCCACTGCAAGGCTGGAATGTTCTATGAGAGAAAGTTTGGAATACCTCTTTACTCCATAAAAAAAAACAAAAAAAACTTGTGACAACATATCTGTTCTTTGGCTCAGAAGCCTTAAAGCAAAAAATGAATTTTTGCTGACATTTTGACAAATGTGTGACAAAAAACACATTTTCCCAGGTATTTTACATGAAATGCCAGGCTAAGGGAAAGAAACATGTGCTCTCCAATTATTGCTCAGCTATAAGACTGGGAGTTCTACTTTGGTAATATCTAAAGGGGTGACCAATAACTCACCCTTGTACTTGTACCAACCAGAATGTCAGTAACATATCTAGAGAGAACCCGTCAAGCACCAGGAAAATTAGGAGATCCAGGCAGTTCAATGTGTATAAAGATTTATTGTAAGCTTAAGCTCTCTAGACCGGCTAAAGGAAATTAGCAAGAGTTAAGAATAGAAGGAATTCAAGGTGGGCTGACTTAGATCTCTTGTGGGCGTGAAGGAACTTGTGATTGATGACGCATTTGGCCCCTTTCTCAGGCTCAGCCTGGTCATCTCCTACAGAACCATTATTCTCACATTTTCTATTTTCCAAAAGCGGCATGTAGCTGGGGATAGACACCTCCCCAAAAAACATTAGTCCATCTTTTTCCAACCTGATATTGTCTAAAAGTGTTGGACTATAACTCCCATCAAATCTAGTAAACACATCCCAAAATGTATTGTCAAGAAATAATGGAAGCTATATTCCAGCCCGACTAGAGTCATCAGGCTGTGGAAAAATAGACTAGCCTCCTTACGCAAGCAACAATTGAAAATTAAATACCGTGGAGAAACTGAAGCCGTGAACTAAGCCAGCAGTCATCCATCAGACATACGGATGGATTCTAAGCACTGAATGATCCCCAATGCCTGGAACTGAAGACTCTTTCTTACCCAGGGCTTTACAGCTGCGCTTGTCTGGGCGAAGCTCATAGCCTTGTTCACACCAGCACTGGAAACCACCCTCACTGTTGGTGCACCCCTGACTGCAATAACCTTCCTCTGCACATTCGTTCACATCTGGAATAAGAAAAGGATAAGGAGTATGAAGCTAAAGAGAAAAGGGTAAATAGTTTGGTTTTGGATTCCATGCTTTGATGCTTATTTATTTATTTATTTTAAAGATTTATATTGCTATTTTTTTTTTTTTTACCCCTTGCATCGGGGAGGAGTCGGGGCAACTGAATGGAGATGAGTGTTTACTGGCCGGATGCCCTTCCTGTGCACCAATACAGAGTTCGCAGCAGATATTTTCTCATTGTGTCGGGAGAGAGAAATATCTGCCGCTACCTAGGATTGAACTCACAGCCTCCTGATTATGAGATGAGAGCTCCACCTCTAGGCCAATTCACCACTCAAAGATTATATATATATCTGTCTTGTAAAACACAACTCTAGGCAACTCACAGAGATAATAAAACCAAAACAGTAAAAGATAACCCAGAATATCAAGCACTTAACTAATAATCTCCAGCCCATTAATGTACATAATTTGTAATTTGTATTCATATTATGAATGTAATTTAAAAAACCCACCCTTTTTATGACTGTAGAGTTCTTTTTTTCTTTTCTTTGTCCTATTACCTTCATACTATGTACTAGGGTAATAGAATAAAGAAAGAAAAAAACTCAGTCAGACTAGCAGATTTTCTACTGTAGGCACTTCGAAACAAGGCCATTATATGCAGCTATTGGTTTAAATCATATTTCTTCTGAAATTCAGAAAATTCTCTTTCCATTACAATCTTCCCCATTTTTCTATTGATTCTACTTTGCTTTTTTTTAAAAAAAAATGACTATTAAGTGAGGGTTGATAAAGTGTCTTTGATTGATAGTGTTAGGATCAGTGGTTTGAAAGCACCAATACAAATCAGAAAGGTCCACATAATTATACAGTTGAACTTGGTTAATGCCACTGCCTGTCAGTGCTACGACTTTACCAAGGACAATTTCATTCCTAGTCATACCTACAGATGCACTTAAGTGTTCAAGCTGCTTACCCTGACACGATCTACCATCCTCCAGAAGCCTGTAACCTGTATGGCAGGTACACTGCACTATTCCGCGAATCATCTGGCATTTCTGGGCACAGTCCCCATTGTTGACATTACAATTTTCCTCTCCAGTTCGAGGACCTGTGAAAAGATCAGAGGCAGAAAATGATTGTAAAGCAACCATTCTTTTAGAATTTTCCTCTTATCTAGGGCAAATTATGAAAAATGCCTAAAGTAGTAGTCAGGAGAGAAAAGAAGAGTTTGTATTCTCAAGTGGAAAAGAGACCCCATATTTCACACAAACAATTGCTCCTAAATTGTCAAGAAGGAATAATTCCTATATCTTGCTGAGCTAAACTTGGCTCTTCAATATATACCTGGAATGCTATATTCTTCCTTGCATCCATAAAAACAACCAGAAAAGACAGAGTAGGGTTTGATACAGGGGTGAAATTCAGCCGGTTCTATCCGGCTCGGGAAAACCAGTAACGGCAGCTGCGGGAGGGTCTGTCCACCCACACGGATGTCATGATGTCGCTTTTTTGCGATGATTTTAAGCCTCTGCGCATGCGCGCGCACATTTGCAAACCGATAGGGAAGGTAAGTGAATTTCACCCCTGGTTTGATAAGATAATATAATGAAAATGCCAGGTTAGGTCATCACCCCAACATTCAGAATTACAGGCAGTCTACCAATTTACACCTGTTCGCTTAACGGATCATTCAAATTATTCAAATTAATGATGGCCTTAGAAAGGGTGTTTTATGGCCTATAAAACACTTCTGGCCATTGCAAAATGTCAACATGCACATACACACACACACCCCGCATCAGTCATGCAATCGCTATCTAGGTGCTTGGCAACCTGTTTGCCAAGTGCCCATGATCATGGGACTGCCATTTGCAAACTTCTCTGCCAGTTTCCCCAAAAAGTCAATGAGGAAATGAGCAAGGAAGGTTCCAAGCTGATGCTATCTGCTGAGAGGACTCCCTCTCATCTCTGGGGCTGGCTGAAAGAGCTTTCTGCTGAAGGTTTTAAGCTTTGAGCAAACAGGCATGAAGAATTTCAGCTCCATGCTAACGTGCATGGAATGGAAATCCTTTGACAAGGAGTTCCTTCAGCCAGCCCCAGAAGCCAAAATCCAAGCAAGATTTTCAGCCCCTGAACAGGCAGCGTGGGAAGGTAAGGAGTGCAGAGTGCCTCAGGGTGTTGAGGGAGGCGCTGGGTGACCCAGTGTAGGCTGTGCACAAGTACTCACACAGGGGTTGAAAATCCTCCTTGGATTTTGGCAGGGAGGATTTTCAGCTCCTGAGCAGAGAGACACTCACATGCTGCCTGCTCTGCATCTCCCTGGGTCTTCCTCATCCCCTTGAGGCACCTGCACTCCTTACCTGGCACTCCGTATCTAGAACTCCCTCTGCTTAACAACCCACAAGATCACTTAACAACCGCAAATCTTGGGAGTGCTGAGATTGCCGATGTTGAGCGAAACAGTCACGTGACTTCATTAAGCTCAATGACCGAGATTCTAGTTGCAATTACGGTTGTAAATCAAGGACTATCAACTTACGGCAGTTTTGGGCAGGGCTTTCATCACTGCCATCTCCACAATCGTTGGCACCATTACATAGCTTCCGTTGGCCAATGCAGCGCCCATTTCCACACAGAAATTGATCAGGGGAACATTGTGGGATTCCTAAATGAAGAATTTTTGAAATTATAAAACTGACAGCTGAACTCAGCACAGATTGTAGCTCAAAAAAAGGCATTAAATTGTCCATGTTTACCCGAATCCTCACAGTCTTCCTCATCACTGTAATCAGAGCAGTCTCCCTCCCCATCACAGCGCCAAGACAGCCGAACGCAGCGGCCAGATTTACATCGGAACTGATCAGCTGTGCACATAGAGGTAGCTGAAGAAATAAACATGAACAAGAATTTCAAAACAGTTTCATGACACGCTTTTCTATTATCTTACTCACTGCCCTTAGGCTGGATTTACAAGTCCCAGGATACTCACTGCAGTTTTTCTCATCCGACTGGTCATCGCAATCAAAATCACCATCACACCTCCAGCCAGCATTAATGCACAAGCCACTGTTGCACATGAACTCTCCAGAGCGGCAAGGCTGGTGAGAGGCTACGGAGATAAACAGTATATGGAAATTCACACTCTAATTCAGCCCAAATTAAGCCCGAGAGATTCAGTTTGCTATCTGGAGGGAAAGCTGAAAAGCTTCTGTTTTGAATATTGGAATGACAGATGCCCCCTCACAAATTTTCTCTGTTACTCCTACCATGAAACACATCTGACCAGAAAACAACACAGCAATGCCATTTGATCTGAGTCTGCAGGCCCTTGCTGCAAGTAACTTACAGCAATCAGATTCATCAGACCAGTCCCCACAGTCATCATCTCCATCACAGTGGTAAATGTCCAGGATACAACGCCCGTAGGCACACTGGAATTCCTCCAGATTACATGTTGCTGCTGGCACATCTGATGCTAAAAGGAGAATGAAAAAAAAAGAAAGAAAGAAAGGTTAACAAGAGATTCCCTAAACTGTTTTGTGATTCTGGTGATGTACAAAATAGAAAGCAATAGCAATAGCACTTAGACTTATATACTGCTCCATAGGGCTTCACAGCACTCTCTGAGCAGTTTACAGTGTCAGCATATTTCCCCTAACAATCTGGGTCCTCATTTTACTGATCTCGGAAGGATGAAAGGCGGAGTCAATCTTGAGCCAGTCAAGATCGAACTCCTGGCAGTGGGCAAAGTCAGCCTGCAATACTGCATTCTAACCATGTGCCACCATGGCTCCTAGCAGATAGAGTGGCAAGCATCATGCACAAGCTGTCATTACACTGAAAGTTATCCAATACTAGCAGTAATTGGCCTCCTGCCCCCAAAATGCCTGTTTTGAACAGAGCATTCGTTGCTTTATAAAAATCCACAAAAATATCCACAGTAAGATCTTCCACCATTCTTTAACATAATTTCATGTCACAGCCTAGAAAATATAAATTAGGAAACCCTTACATATTCAAGCTGCTTATATTGAATAGCGTAGATCTTATGTTTTATCATATCCTATCAAGATGTCATCATGCATAGAATTAGCGCATTGAAAGTTGATGGAGACATATACAAGGTTCTCTCTACACACTGAAGTACAACAGGGATTGTGCAACTGAAAAGTGGCATTTATGAATATGAAGCACACTTTATGCAGGTGGACAATAACAAAATCCACTAAGCAAATCCACATAGACTTTCCATCCACTTTCATAATAAACATAGAAATAGCACATGTCAGTAGATTTACTACATATTCAATTCCACCACTGATTTTATCATACGTTGATTGCCATGATTATGTATGCACTCTAATGTGAAGACTCATTTGTGACTGACCACAAGCATTCCAATGGCTTTCCTTGTGTTCAAGAGAATGAGGGCATGGTGTTCTCCAAAAGCCTAAACAGCAAGTTAACCTCCAAGATAGCTTCCAGGCAATACAAAGCTATAATTTTCTGTATCTCTAGAGATGACTATGCAAAGGTTTGCAATTAGCCAAGCTGTATGATTGAACAGAAGAACTGTTCATTTAAGGATTTTGTTCGACCAATGCTCTTAAGCAGAAGTCACCATGAATTGCTGTGGCAACCCTTTGAAGAATACCATTTATCTCAAAATGATGCCAGGACAAACATCTCCATTTCTGTTTCATAGAAGAATTCTTCCTAGGCACATATAACATTGGTCCAGAACTCAGTTTAATTTAAGACAAAAGATGTACGATGCTGCCCTTTCACCAACGCAATTAAGCCCAGAGAACAGAATTCTTGGTGTTAGATAGTCAAACATCAGCAGCCTGTAAAATTCAAGGTTTTGAAAAATCACTACTGCAACAGAAAGGAGGCTTTTGGAAGGACTTTCAAGCAGAATGACCCCAGCAAAAGCATTCAGGGCTCTAACAGCATCTGGGTCACACTTTCTGGCACTGCACCTGTTTTTAATTACAAATCGTAAGAAGCAGGGGACAGAAAGGAGCACAAGAGGTGGTAAATATATATTTGAAATCGGAGGCCCAGGAGTTCTTAGCTATCTTGAGTGCCCTCTGGTTAGAAATATGGAAATATACAACAAATTGACAATAATTATAATAATGGTTCAGCATAGGTTAGAGGGCACCATGTTGGGAAAGACTGGTTTAAACTGAAGGGAAATTTCTAGTTTGCTTCTGTGGATTGTTTTTTTTTTTTTTTAAATAAAGCATTAGACTTTTTAGAAATATACAGGAGAGTTTGTTAATCTCACTAAACCCATATCTCTAACACAGCTAGGCTTCTGAAGAAAATACATATTTTAATAAGCAGCAGGAAAAGTACAGCCACTGACAAGGGGAGAGTGAAATTGGCTTCCTCTCCAAGACTTTCCTGGCTCTGAAATCTTTACAGCTCTGGCTTTTTGCCAGCTCTCATTATCTCTGAAGATAAAAGACAAATCCCACCCCACACCAGCACCACCCCCAGGATTCCCCACCCTTGCCCTTCAGGAGCTGGCTGGACCCTTTTATTGTCTTCTCCCTCCAAACCTTTTGAAGTTTCCTCCTATCTAGAACATATTATGAAAAATGCCCTTGAGGCAGGAGTGGGGGAGGAGACTCTGCCTGCCTGCTGAGAATCCAGTTAACTTCTCAGATATGGGAGGAAGGGCAGAAAGAGAAAACTGAACGAAAATGTGAGCTAATCTGGAAAGGGAGCAATTCACAAAGGCTGAAGCTGGCTTCCCTGATATTAATTAAAAAAAAGTAGGTAAAGGGATGTTTGAAATAGATGATCCAAGTGCACCCAGACTGGGAGAAAGGCAACAAAGAGTGCTGGAAATCATTCATCAAAATAACTTCCTCCGAAGTTGGGGTGGGGGTTGCCTACGACAAACGATATCCTCTTTGATCATTTACTTTCATGTAGCCACTTTGTCAAGCAGACTTAAGTCTGGTTCAAAGTCCTAATAATCAGAAAGCAAATAAAACTCTCTACTTGAAGATACTACAAGACTACAAAACAAAAAATGTACTAGGCTTCACAAGGAGCTCCAAGGATGAAACCACTCGCAGAGTACTTGTTCCTATTTTGAAAGTATCATTTATCAGCAGGAGGACTCAAATCCAGGAAACCCTTATTGGCACTTGCACAATATCTGCCCAACAACTAACATCAATTCCCACTGGAAAGCCAACTGGTTGCAGAATGCCCAGACATAGGAAGACATATAAACGACCCCACAAAAAAAGATGCCAGGCTTTGAATTACCACATCAGCAATGGACAATCCTGAATAGGATTTGTACCTCCCATGGCATCTGCCAGGACCTTCTGTATAAATGGGGCACAGCATCTTTCCCTTAGTGTGACTACGGGATCTCATCGGTGGTGGTATTTAGCCAGTTCTATCCGGTTCTGGTGAATCGGTAGCAGCGGCTGCAGGAGGCTCCTCCCACCCGCTCAGATGTCATCACATCCTGTTTTTGATGATCTGTGCACCCGCACACGATCACATTTGCGAACTGGTAGCGAAGGTAAGTGAATACCACCCTTGGGTCTCATGTCAAAATGTAGATCACATTGTGACCGGCTATAAGCAGAGAGCATATATTGGTCCAGTATCTGACTTATTTTTAATATAAACAATGCTGTGCTTCAGTGGTTAGATGGCCTAGACCGGTGATGGCTAACCCTTTTGCCATCGCATGCCAAAAGCATGGGGAACGTGGGGGGGGGGTCACGCACACATGTACCCACACCCATAATTCTATGCGCCCCACCCAGTGGTGGGATTCAAGTAATTTTAACAACCAGTTCTCTGCCCTAATGATTTCTTCCAACAACTAGTTTGCCAGACTGCTCAGAAAGTTACAACCGGTTCTCCCGAAGTGGTGTGAACTGGCTGAATCTCACCACTGGCCCCGAGCCTGCGCATGTGTGTGCAACCCCCCCGTGCTTTCCCCGTTTTTGGCACGTGATGGCACGGTGGGCCCGGTAGGCCCATTTTTGTGCCCTCCCCAGGCTCCAGAGCCTTTCTAGGAGCCTGGGGAGGGTGAAAATGGCCTTCCCCACCCCCCACCCCCGGAGGCCCTCCGGAGGCCCTCCGGAGGCCGGAAGTGGCCTGTTTGCTGACTTCCAGTGGGCCCAGAAGGCCCGAAAATCAGCTGGCCAGCACGTGCATGTGCACTGGAGCTGAGCTTGCGTGCCCACCAATATGGCTCCGTGTGCCACTTGTGGCACGCATGCCATAGGTTCACCATCACGGCCCTAGACATTAATATTTGAACATAGTTCTTTTTCACATTTATATTTTATTGTGTTCTACTAATCTAGTTGAAATGTTAATTTATATTGCTAGTCTGTGTGTGATATGCCATATGCTAAATAAATCCTATTTTGAGCAAAATATTATTTCCAACATAACTCTGTTTTTGCATGCTTTTGATTACGACATTATGAGTGGAAGTTGTGATATGGTCAATTTGCTTTCCAGGCCCTATTTAAGATACTCATTATAACATGTAAAATCTTGTGTGTTTTACACCCAAGGTACCTGCAGGGCTATCATTTAAAACCTAGGTTCTTTTATCTTTTTTCATAGGATATTCCATCCCAACTGATGGAGGATGTTTACCAAATTAGATTCCACCCCCACAACACTAAATTTAAAATGTGAATAGACAAACTGGAGCAAACAATGAGCAAACCAGCAACAGAAAAATAATGGAAACCTTAAAAAAAAATACCCATTTAAAGAAACAATATGAATAATAAAATTATGGATCAAATGAAGCAATTGCAGTGCAACTACATAAACTCATAATAAGCATTACATAAAAAAATAATAATCAATGGTTTAATGAATATTAGTACAAATCAGAAAAACACACACATATAAAATTCCAATACTTGTTAATTCAGCTTCCAATGTAAGCACACTTTAGCAATCCAAATATTTAAGCACAAAGGTCTTGCCACCTTTGAACCATATTCAGATTGAAATATAAATGCCGAATGTTCACTTCTGAAAGTTAGAAAAGTTCAGATCTAAAGAGGATTCCCCCCCCCCACATCATCTAAGCAACATCAGAATGGAATAGCCTGTTTTGCCATCTTGGGAAGGGGGCTACAAGGTCAGAGTTAGAAGGAATTCAGGAACTGTCCCTAATCATCCAAGAAGAATGTCGCCTTTAATCTGTGTCACGACTTTCATTCACTCTTCTATCACTTAGCAACAAAGGCATACCATCTCATGATCTGATTGGTTACTGTGCACCTGTTCACCTCCTCCCTTCATTGGTTGTTCATTACATCCTAAGGCCCACCAATTAAAAGTGACACTGGATTGTTGGCTCAAAACATTGCAAGCTTCTTTTATCCTTGTCTCCTTGATTAGTTTTCACACATCTGGACTCTCCTATCAGTAACAAAGTTATAACATCCTCCAACTCCTCATTTTTTGTTTTTCGATCCCACTCCATTCCTCCACTTACTCGATAATTCTACATATAATTAAGCTGTAATTCTCACTTTAATATCAAAAGTCTTATGTATACAGATAGTCCTTGACTTTCAACTATTCATTTAGTGACCATTCAAAGTTGGCTGAAAAAAACAATTTACATTTGGTCCTATGACCGTTGCCGCATCCCCATAGTCACATGACAAAAATTTGGGCACTTGGCAACCAGCATGTATTTAAGACAGTTGCAGTATCCTGGAGTCACATGACCTCCATTTGCACCTTCCCAAATGGCTTCTGACAAGCAAAGTCAGTGGGAGAAAATGGATTCACTACAATTCACCTAATAACTACAGCAAAAAAGATTGTAAAATCTGGTATGACTCACAACAACTGCTCACTTAACGATGGGAGTTCCACTCTAAGTTGTGGCTGAAAGCCAAGGATTACCCATAGGCAAAATTTAGAAACAAAATAGTCTGTAATATACCAACAAAGCAAAATTAAATACTGTATCTCTCAGTTGATATATATATATATATATATATATATATATATATATATATATATATATTCTCATTGATACCCAGTAAAATTAATCAAAACATGCTAAAGCTCAAAGTTACTGGAGTAGGATAAAACCAGTCTTGTGTTAAAATACCATTTGCTTGCCATTTCAAAATACTGCATCATAATCGAGTTTCATGACAAAAGCATTGATTCTACAACAATTATACAGCATTAAATGTATTTAAACAACCCTAATGTAAATTGGAGTACACGATATATAATTTCTTTAAATAAACAGGCAAGAAAAATCACAATTGAAAATGAGGTCAGTTTCTTTAAAAAATGGAATTTAAAATTGTTAAAACTTTTTAGTGGGGATTCTTCAATGAAAAATCTGGTACGGCTTTTTCCATTTATCAGAATCAATTTAAAAAAGCATTACTGTGGGAGAAGATGTTATTCTTTCAAGACAGAAATAAAAGAGCAGAATTAACAGCTGTAGTAACTGATACCCATGATCATTTCAAAGCTTAGAAGCAGATGCTTTTATCAAATGAAGGAAGAGTGATGTCATTTTAAATAGCTCTTTTGACGGCAAAATGCCTGCAGAGATTTGCACTACTAGTTTAAATATTTTCAATCCTACACAGCAAGGCTAAGGCCAATAGGTACTTAAATCATGAAAGAAAAAACTGGCACATATACCCAGAAGCAGAAAGTGGGGCTTAAATGCTAGAAGCGACAAGAAAGAGGGCACTTACGGCAGTTCTCTTCATCCGACCCATCCTTGCAGTCAGTATCACCATCACAGAACCAGTGCTCAGCTATGCAGCTACCATCAGTGCAGCGAAACTCTTTGTCTGAACACTTTCTCATATCTGCAGCAGAAAGAATAGATTAGGGGGAAATAGTAATAGCACTTAGACTTATATACCGCTTCATAGTGCTTTACAACCCTCTCTAAGTGGTTTACAGAGTCAGAGTCAGCATATTGCCCCCCAAAACCAGGCTGTCCTCATTTTATCGATCTTGGAAAGATAGAAGGCTGAGTCAACCTTGAGCCAGACAAAATCGAACCTCTGACAGTGGGCAGAGTTAACCTGCAATACTGCATTCTAACCACTGTGCTGCCACCACAGGTCTTCTCCTTCCCCTTCCCTTCCCTCACAGCTGCAAGTGATTTTTTTAAAAAAATAGATCACATCCTCAAACCTTCCAATATTACAATTGCACAGAATAATGACTGCTTGCTGAGTGTACATTTTTACAGAGATAAACTGAAGTTGTACTACAATACAGTTTGATGTGGCATGGAAGAGACATAGCACAACTCCCAAACACCCCAATTTCCCAACCCGCCAAACAAACTGTCTTAACTTTTTCCATGGAAACTTTTTCCTGAAGCAGGGGTGAAATGCTCCCGGTTCGGACCGGATCACGAGATCCGGTAGCGATGGCGGCGGGTGGTTCAGAGAACTGGTAGCAAAAATCTCTGCCCCCCCCCCATGCCCAGCTGAGCCACTGTTTTTTACTTTTAAAAGCATTTTTTCTACAACCTCTTCGGCCGAAAAAATGCTTTTAAAAATAATTTTAAAAAAGCCTCTGATGATTCCGCAGCTCAGCTGGGATCGTCAGAGGCTTTTCAAAGCATTTTTTTCTGCAACCCCTTCAGCCGAAGAGGTTGTAGGAAAAAAAATGCCTTTAAAAGCCTCTGGTGATCCAAGCTGACTTACCTGATCGTCAGAAGCTTCTAAAAGTATTTTTTTCTGCAACCTCTTAAGGTTGTAGAAAAAATGCTTTTAAAAGTAAAAAAAAAAAAGTTGGCCACACCCAACCAGTCACATTACCCCCACACACACCAAGCCATGCCCATAGAACCAGTAGTAACAAATTTTAGATTTCACCCCTGGCCTGAAGCCTAGATGTATCCTAAACTTATTTTTCCCTCCACAGTCCTCAAAGCCCGAGAAACTGTAATGCCAAACTGCAGTTGCAAATGGTCAAGAAACGGGGAAAGAAATGGGCTTTCTTTAGGCATATTAGAACAAATCTCTCCCCCTAAAATCTTGGCTACTACAGTGACATTATCATCTTGTTGCTTCAGCTGCAAATTGGATTTTCATTTGGGAATGGCCATTTGCCTCATGCACTGATAACATCAAAGTCTTCATAAAGAAAAAAATATATGATCTTCAGTCCACCTTGTTAGGACTGAAACCTATGCAAAAACTCTGTTCAAATCATCTGTGCTACAATTATTTTTTTTCTCATGTCATTTGGCACTCCAAAATGCTAGATGTTGGTCCTATCACGATCAGGTTACTAACCACACTGCTCGTCACTGTTGTCTCCACAGTCGTTGTCACCATCGCAGTGCCATAGGCTGCGTATGCAGTATCCATTCTGACAGGAGAACTCATCTTCCTCACATTCCCGGGGAGCTGCAGGAACACAACCCACAAAAAGACACGTCAAACGCAGCATTGTGGTTTACTCAGCCAGCAGAAGCCTATATATACCAGACATTTTAGAAACATCTATTAATGCATTTCTTTATTATATATTTATTCTGTTCATTTAATTTCTCTGAACATATTATAAGACTATTTTAAAATAAAATGAAACAATAAAATACAATAATAGCCCATATTGAGAACACAGCTTGTTGGTAAGCATACTAAATAAATAGCCCAGGAAATATGTCATATTTATAAAAGCTTGATCTCAGTGTAATGTAAATTTCAAAGCATAATTTGATACACATCTCTGGTTAGAATTCACCAACTAGGATTGAGTAGCATAAGAAGACAACTTTCAAATGTTTGCACAAATGTGTCCACCTGCCAAAAGTTAAGTTTTGTAGTATATTACGGAACACCACAAACCTAAATTACTGAGGTTAGAGCAAACCCACATAACTGGGTTTGCTTTTTTTTTTTTTTAACATACACCATCTATTCTAACAGCTACTCTACTGCTTAATCATCTCCAAAAGCCGACTGCAGGTCCAACAATGACATTCTGTTTGTTCTCACAAAGGGATTGTGCATTTAACGTACGGCAGTCCTGCTCATCAGAATCATCCTCACAATCATTGTCTCCATCACAGACCCATGATCGACGGATACATTTGCCATTGTCACAGTGAAAATCCAGGGATGAACAAGTAGGCAGCACTGAAAAGTAAGGAGGAGAAAAAGAAACAACGAAGAACATTCAATAAGTTGCATTCTATTTACTTCTTAAATCATACATGCATGCCAAGGACATAACAGTAGTACGGTAGTAAAACTACTACTAGTAGTACTAATTATATTTAGTAGTAATTAAAATATGAAATGTTCTAATAATTATAATTGTAATGAGAGCCAGTTTGGTGTAATGGTTAAGGCACCAGGCTAAAAACCAGGAGACCTTGAGTTCTATTCCTGTCTTAGGCACAAAGCCAGCTGATCTTGGACCAGTCATTTTCTCTAGAAGGAGGCACTGGCAAACCCTTTCCAAAAATGTTGCCAAGAAAACTGCAAGGGACTTGTCCAGGCAGCCTCTGAGAATTGGACACAACTGAATGGAAGAAAATAATTATAATGTATAATTTATACTTATAATTAGTACAGTAGTATTAATAATAAAAAGCACGAAGGAGTGGGAAATACCGCCATATTAATAACTCCCCAAACTTAATATGCAGTTTAATTCTTTTTAAGATCAGTTTGTACTCTGAATAACAAGTAACAACTTGGTGATATCGCTAAAAGTGAGCTAAAATTGTGCTAAAAGAACAGCCAAGTTCCCTTTTCTGTGCCAGAGAATACTGTTGCAGAGGTTACGGAAAGTTATGCCAACTTTCAGCTGTACTGTAGTCAGATCAATTGTAACCTATTAAATGGGGGAAGAAACAGTCGGTGCTCTCAATATGGTACTTATTTGAAATTGTGGTGAATTAAAAGAGACGTGAATTTTCAAAGTAGGAACATAAGCCCTGGCCAACATTCTACACTTACGTTTTATTTCGAACACTCATCCAGAAATACGAAAGGATTTCTCTGTATCTGTTAATTACTTTAGTCCTGAAAATCTGCCCTCTCTCTCATTCTGCCTTGAATACTAGTCCACTTCTTCCAAAAAAACTGAAAATACATTCATTTCTCCCTATCACATTAGATTAAAACAACTTCTAAGTTCTTCACAGCCCGCCAAAGAGTAGAAAGCAGAATTGTCAGATTTTCCATTGCACGCTTCCAAACAATAGTGCCGCAGAATATTTGGGAACAGATAAATCCAGTTTCCAGGGATTTGCGCTCCAATACACAGAATGAAAAAGGCCTTATATCTGAATTTTTAGAATCTCCCTCCACTCAAAGACGATGAAAAATGTTGGCATCAAAATGCTGCCGCCTCCCATGCTATTCCATCCAATGACCTCTTCCATCAGTTAATACAGGTAGTCCTCAACATACAACAGTTCATTTAGTGACCTTTCAAAGTTACAACGGCACAGAAAAAAATGACTTATTAATGTTTTTCACAGTTACAACCTTTCCAGCATCCCCATGACCATGTGGCCAAAATACAGATGCTTGGCAAGTGGTTTCATATTTATGACCATTGCTGTGTCCCAGGATCATGTGATCCTCTTTTGCATTACTAGGTTACTACCAGGTTACTAACTTATCAACTACAGTGGTTCACTTAACAACTGAGGCAAGAAAGGTCGTAAACTAGAGCAAAATTCACTTAACAAATATCTCACTTAACATGTTGGACTCAGTTGTGATTAGATGTCGAGGACTACCTGTAGCATTTCATGGTCATTGGATGTCTACAGGCCACACTGAACTGTTTTGGAGGTTCCTGACCCTTCATTTTTTTTAAAAAATGGAAATATATTTTATTCTTGCAGTTCCTTTGAAAGTTCCCACTTTGCATGTGTAGTAGCACTCATTTTTTCTCTGAAGACAACATGCAAAAGGAAAAACATACATAACCTTGACACCTGGAAGCGAGAAACAAAACAATAGCAATAGCACTTAGACTTATAAACCGCTTTGCAGTGTTTTGCAACTCTCTCTAAGCAGTTTACAGAGTCAGCATATTGACCGCAGCAATCTGGATCCTCATTTTTCCCACCTCGGAAGGATGGAAGGTTGAGTCAACCTTGAGCCTGGTGAAATTCAAACTGTCAAATTGCAGGCAGCCGGCGGTCAGCAGAAGTAGCCTGCAGTACTGCATTTTAACCACTGCGCCACCCTGACTCAATGACATATTTGTCAGGTGCCATTCCCAAGCCTCTTGATATTTTTAAATGCCTTTGACAAGATTCTAAAAAACAAACAAACAATCTTTCTGCTATTTTTACTGTATGTTTATCCTAAATTTTGTTTGATAGCCAGTATCTTCTCCACCAATGCAAACCCCAAACATCCACACCGTGGCTTTTCATTCCCTAGTATTTCCCAACTCTTACAGCCTATGCCAAATGAGGAGGCATCTCTTCTAAATGTTCATACAAGGCACCATACAAGCCAAGTATTTGGCTTCAGATTTTCTTTTTACGTCTTCTTCACAGCTGTTATCATTCCCATTCAATCAGGTAGTCCTTGACTTACAACTTGTTGCTCAGCAACTGGTCAAAGTTATGACGGAGCCCCCAAAAGTATTCATGACTTGGTTCCAAACTTCCACACACCCCTAATCACATAACAGCGTTTTGAGCACTTGGCAACCAGCCTGCATCTATAGACATTTGAAGCATCCCATGGTCACATGACTGCACTTTTGCTCAAAGCTGGCCTTTACTTTAGTTTTTTGGCAAAAACACTCCAGAGCAAACAACGGGCTTGTTTTACGCACCTGCACATGATGTCCTACTTGATGATTTATGACCATAATGGCCAGTCTCTGTTATAGCAATGTCGAGGGCTACTTGTATTAAGCAAATCAAGATAATCAATTCCTTACTGAAGTCAGGCTAGAATGATTTTTACATGACATCTCTCTCTCCCGCTCACTCATTCACTCTCAAAACTAGAAATGAAAATCTTTCCGGTTGCTTCTGAACATTCCTTTTCAGCATTTTGGGAGAAAATTGTGGAAGAAAAAGAAATATGCTGAATATACGGCTGAGCCACTTGAACATACAGGTCCTAATCCAGAAATCTCTTCAGTGGAGTAGAGGTTTTAATCTCATTTAATTTCTTCCTCTTCTTTAATAGCTTTGCTTGGGCTCCCTGTGGAGCTGAGAAGGTAAAATTGGTCTAAGGAAAATCTACGTGGTATATTTTAGACAATTAACAGATAATTATTTTTCCTTTTGATTAAGCAAGAGAAGATGTATGGATATTGCACAAGTATCGAGCAATATGTGCAGATTTGTTGCTCTGTAAACTATTCATCTGAGAAGACCTTCAATGTACCAGTAAATTTTTACAATGAATATTGAATTAGATTAGTCTCTCGCTCTCGCTCTCGCTCTCGCTCTCGCTCTTCCTCCCTCCTCTCCCTCCCTCTCTCAGAATGCCATTTATAAAGGCTTCCTCTTTGGGTTGCAATAAATTCGTAACCTATGAGGACTGTGTTTTCAAGGCGAAGAAGAAGAAGAAGAAGAAGAAGAAGAAGAAGAAGAAGAAGAAGAAAGAAGAAGAAGAAGAAGAAGAAGAAGAAGAAGAAGGAAGAAGAAGAAGAAGAAGAAGAAGAAGAAGAAGAAGAAGAAGAAGAGGGGGAGGGGGAGGGGGAGGAGGAGAGGGAGGAGGAGAAGGAGGAGGAGAAGGAGAAGAAAGCATTTTATATCTGGTGGCTGTGTTTTCCAAAGGAACAGGGTTTCCTTCAACTAAACAAGCAAGCAACAAAAAGGAACTCTTTCATTTCTGCCCTGTCTGCTGATGTTATCTTATAGCTGTCATCATCTGCAGCAGTATCCCAATAAATAGGAAGAAAAGTGGTTTCTTTGCAAATAAATGGCCATTTGGATAGTTAGTGTTTCTAGTTTTCCCCTGTCCTTCCCCTGAAATTGCAGCCAGGAACTATCTTTGCAAATCTACTTTGGGATTTGTTTTAATTATGAAAAGCAGGTTTTAAAAGTTATAAATGAACACAGTAACCATGGTTAACCTCACAGCTGCATTTTAATCATACTGATTAAAATTGTACAATACTTTGAGGCGCAAACTAGGTAAGTACCAATCAACCAAATGCTTAGCATTTGTGGCAACTTATCTAGGAACTGTCAGCAGTAGTTCTCCCCAATACAGTGCCATCCAGGCTTATCTACGGTCTCTACCATCTTCGGTCAACATGGTCATTAGTGAGAATGGTTTAACCTACAATTACCTATACAGATGCTCTCTTTTCCTTAAATTTTTAGATTAGAACGTGTGAGACATCACAATTGGCCATGACGGTAATCACAGATCTCCAGATACTTAATCCTTAATTCACCCTTTGGTTAAACTTGGCAGAAGACTCTCAGTTTAGCTAGTTTTGAGTTTTCGTTGCAGACAGCAAGGAAGTCTTGAAGGCAACAGATGATTCCACACTGCAGAGCAAAGAATTCTAGAGTGTATGTGCCCATACAGTATAACTATTGAATTAGATTACCTCCCCCTCCTCTCTCTGCCACTCCCTCCCTATTGTAGAGTTTAAAATTTTGGCTTCTTCCTCCTGCCTTTCTAAGTGAACAGATATTTGATGATTCCCTTAGTGGCCTTGGATGGTTTATTATGTAACAGCTCTCTCTAGTCTGAGAACTACTAGTTCTTGCCTCATATTATCAGCCCTCAAAGGAAAAAAAGGAACAAACACACCTCACCTAGCTGAATGGTAGAATATACTCATAATGCAATGCAGTTCTCAATTTAGACAGATTCAAAAGGAATTGAACAGAACCAAGAAGAATGACGTGCAAAAGATAAGCTCAGAAATATAACCAGAACAACAGAAACAGCAGAGAAGCAGCAATTTCTCTTAATTATATATAGCTTGCAGATTTCCAATAACACTAGGTTGTTTACTCTGAAAATCAGGTCAGCGGACAGCATAGGCTATTTATCCAATCCATCAGAATTAACAACAGCAACAAAATCCATCTTGTTCCATATGTTCCAAAGAGACTTCCACATAAATGTGGAATTTTTGTGCACATAAATACGGAACAAAGTATTGTTTTAAAATAAGGACT